AGTTAATAGAGGGCTGATTAGTCATTATGATATGAGGGGGAGGTGTTAAACAAAGAGAAAGTAATAAAGCGAGATTTCAGTCTCCCAAGAACAAGAATAATATTAATAAATATAACATGTATATAAATAGATATTACCTGTTTTTATGTTTTAATACATGAGATATATTATAACAATTAAACGAGTATTCTATATGGGATAATACCATGAGTATGATGCTCAATCATTTCAATGCTTTGTCATGAATATTACCACAAATTGCCTTCTCAGTGTGTGTGAGAAGAAAGTCTGGTAATATGGAGTTAATCTGTTCAGAGGTTTCTTTATTCAAGTAGCGATTAAACATCAGACTGATGTGTTACTGCATTCATTCTATTTGAGACAATCAATAAAGCAGACAGCCAGCTCTATACTGGGTAATGTAACAACATTAATATATCCACATATCTCTGGCTTTTCTTCCATCTTGAATTCATGAAATCTCCTTTACTTAAGAGCAGGAAATGCTTTGAGTATTTTTTTATTCCTTGCAATATATTATGACCATTATTTTTTATTGTTACACTTAGCTTATCATTGGATTGTTTATGATATTTCTGTTTTAATGAATGTATAATGTTAATAAATAAATTGTTATTTATCATAATCAAATTGTTCATCGAATGTTATAATAAACTGAATTGTTATTTATCATAAACAAATTATTTGATAGATTATGTTATCAAGAATACCTGATTTTAAAAGTTACTTGAAATTAAAGGATTTTTTAAATATAGGAATCAAAAGTGAATAAAATAAAAGTGAAAAGTACAAGTAATATGCATTTCATTTAAGGCCTTTAAAGTAGCAGCCAAGACCTGTTTTCTGATAAGTAGTATGAAGCATTTAACAATGACTGTTACTTTAATAATAAAAAAAGTAATTGCGCATCTATGCTTCTGATTATTCTCCTGGTTGCTATACCAATGAAACCATACGAAATGTGAGATGCTCAACATGAACATATATCTTTAGGATTCTTCACATGACTGTTTGACATATTCTTTTAGCTGTGAGGTTAATCGTCTTTTCAGGTATTGGAGTTACACAATGCAATTCTGTAATATCAATATATGCTGAACATGGATCGCCTCCTATCAATGATGCTCTCGCGATTTTCCTGTCTTTGGATTCTAGAAATTGACATACTATCTTATACAATGCACTTATTATATATAGCTGCATTGTTATTATATCTAAGAATTTAATTATAAGGATATTTTATCTGATGTTAATTATCACAATATAACAAAACTGTCATAATCATGCTGTAGAGAGCATGTTTTGAGCTCAATTGTCTTGATTGTTTGTACATGTCTATTCTGGTTCCTTACTTTATTGGAACATGTCATTAATATTTCATTTCTTGATTATGTACAATAGGCTCGGCTTTCTCTTTTTATCTGACAACTCTCAGAACAACAAAAATCTAGATTACATTTATATCAATATAGGTGCCTGTGCTAAGATAATATATAAGTTTCAGTCCTATTTTAACAAGTTTAAAGTGTGACTTTTGCCTTTTTAGAGAAATGTTAGCTCAAATATTGATAACATTAAGGTTACAATAAACTATTGACAAGTATTTTAAGAAAGTCCCGAACGTATATCTTGTGAACTTTATAGAGAAAACCTAAGAAGATATCACCGAATATAAACATGTACGTGTGTACAAGACTTACTTAGCTTAGAATAAAACTTAAGACTTAATGATTGAGACAGTTGTTCAGTAGATAGATAATATGTAATGGCTGACAATTCCCCAATAATTTATGTTTCTATGAGTTATCGCTATAGCTCTTATAAGGTTTTACCGCTTTGGCTCACTGCTTTGAATAGCATACTAATATTGTCTAATATCCGTCGGAACCATCTCTCGTCTTGTCTTATATTTCAGATAATATTGGTGTACATCTTACTAGATGTTTTACATTTTTGACATGATTTTATAGTACAGGGTTAAATTTAACTTAGGCTAACCTGATTTCATTAACGTAAAACAATAGCATTTTAGCAGTTAGTTGCTATGGTTATCATAAAGATGTGTCAAACTTGTAAAGTTGGTTTACAATTGCAGTTTGAATAAATTTAATTACAATCATACCATTTTAATTGTTAATTTGTAGGATAGTGATCACAGTTCTATTGAAACTGCTTATGATTTATGGCTTGTGTTTTCATTCTGTTAAATGTTTTAGAAATGGCATGATACATTGTTGTAATGCAAATTTAAGTTAAAACAACATGTAGACTTCAAATACATATGTGTTAGTAGGTTTTGATTGATCTAACATTCAAGCATATTGGTGTGTTTAATTATAACAATAGAATGAATCCTTCGATATATTGTAGAGTCTGAATATAAATCTTTTGAGTCACAATGCAGTACATTAATCGTTAATGATAGAAAGTAGATACTTTTGCAGTAATACACAAGGTCAAAATGTGACGAAGAAATTAACATGGCATATTCGGCCTCTCATTCCAGTGTATATGACATCATAAATGATATATATATCCCATCTTTATTAATATATTGTATCATGAACAGATAGAAAATACATTAATTCCATAAGTGGTTTCAATATCCATAATTAAATTAATGTACCGTTTGATTTGCCATGATCAGAAGAGCAAGCAGGTCACTGGGAAATGTTTTCCCTTCTCATATTAATGCAAACCTGTAATTTCTTGCCGTTTCAACAGCTGGGTGAAATACTAAATAGAAAAGCCTCAAATTCATAGAAAGCGCAAATAAACTGGTATTTAAATGAAGTACAGTGGTTTACATATAGGTTATTATTACACTATCACCACAAGGCAGTAGCGATATACATTGATTTTATCCAGAAAATACCGCAAATACATCAGCTATAAAATTGTAACAGAAGACAGGGTATATTATTGAGCTAGGAATATATTAATGAGTATCTAGTTGAACTGAACATGCAAAGTTGATCAGAAAAACCATAGACAAATAAAGCTATAGAAGCGACTAAGAGGCAACCGATGCCATCCTTGTTGGCTATTGATTGCGAATAACAACTCTACAATAATTATCCCTTTAGCATTTGGATCAAACTGTTATTGCTTAGCTATCAAGTAACAAAGATCTAGTGAAACCAAGATGGCTTCCTCATCTCGATTATCTATTTTCTTGGTAGTTGACATTTTGTTGCAGTATGCGATGATATAAATAGAAGTTGGCTTCTATGAATCACATGCATGTACATGTTCAATTGACATTGATGTTTCATTTATTATGGTAAGAGACTGAAACTGAGATATTAAGCTGTTGTCTAGTTAAATCCGGATTTTATTCATGATAAATAGATAATACCTTGATGTCAGTAGGAGATGCTACATGAAATATATTCCATTTAACAATATCGATATGAGCCAATGGCTTTGATACTATCAAAGTGTTACATCAAATCAAAGTTACTCTTGAAAATTCTCATTCTGAAAAATCAGATTATGAAAGCCCTCATGAATTTCTCTATGCGTTGGAAATTGTGATGACAGACATTGTTCTGAGTCAAAGATATAAGCACTGACCTTTAATTACTGTGGTTGGGCTTTATGGTTTTCTTGTTCAGGTTTAGATGGTTTTGAAGTTTGAAAGTCAGCAGTAAGATTCTTGTTTGGTATTCTTAGATAGTTTGTGGAATTGAATCTATTGTAGACACAGTATAGTCTACATATTATATTTACATATCATCTGTCTTAAATAATCATTATAGTGTGTTTATGAGTTGGGTCTCTTGGTGCATTTCTTCTGCTTGTGTTTGAGTCTCTCTTGACATAAACATCACATTGTTTTTATATTGTTTTTTTAATGGGCCACATATAGAATAAATACAGCAATGAGAATATCAACAGTAGTAAGTTTTTTGTTAGCATCATCTATACGTACAGTATATACGTACAGTATAAATAAGTGGTGTTTGAACTTAGATTTCATAATTCAACTCTCGGTCTCATTTTAAACCTTGTAACAGTATTGTACATACACCATATTGTAATATTGTCAAGAGATGTTGTATCTATTGTTCTGTGACAAGTTAACCCTCGAAATTGAAACACAAGTGAAAGTTTTAATCTTATTTGTTTCAGCTTTTCATACTGTTAAAGAAAAATAGATATATGGAATATTAAAGTTAAGAAGAAGTTGCCTAAACAGAGGGTGATTTTTTGCCTTATTTACCTTATTTTTTAAACAGAACTTTGAAGTGACGACCATTTTCAATTTATGTATTGATATTTGGTTATAGTCCAAGTTCAAAGTAGTGCACTCCTGCAAAACTACTCTGTGTTTATTGAGCGAAAAGATAATATGGCATGTTTTATTGGTAGAACATTATTGACAATTTACAACATAAATTTTGAAATAGATCTGGCAAAAATAGTATCTGCCATCTTTCTGTGAATATTATATTAAAAATATGATTTTGATTGAATAGAATATTTCTGAATAATAATGTCCATTGTTAAGATAATTATTATTAGGTTTTGAGTTCTTCTATCAACACATGCAGTTTTTAGGTCATTACTGTCAGTTGGAATACTATATTGTAGTAAATATGGTCCCAAATTGTATCAAAATTATGAAGATGACTAATTTTTCCATCTAGATCCATCAAGGTATGTAATGACTGAAGGAATACACTGGTTTAACAGTATTAATTTTTGACGGTTAAAGTGAAAGTCAGAATCTGTAAGCCCATTCAGCAATTTAGATTTAATTTGATATTGATAAATGCTGTTGTATATATGATAAACTGTATATAGCATTATCATATGATGGGGAAAATAATTGTTTACTGTACTAAAAAGTGAAAGAAAACTTTTAATTATTATTAATCCTTCATAATAAAAGATAAGAAGGAGCTCTGAATCAAAAATAATGTTGTCTTTTGTCACCCAGAGTTATAATCATGTGCCATATTTGTATGTTTCAGCAGGTGCCTCCCCATTCACTGGAGCCAGCATACCACCCTTTCCTCCATTTGGACAGATCCCTGCGGGGTATTCGATGTTCGGCCATCATCCATTGTTCCCAGGGGCGCCACCTTTTGGTGGGTTAGGTTCTCTGGCAGATATTGGAAGTCCATTGAGATCACCCCTCCAACCAAGCCTCAGTCCCACCACAAGTAAGTTGTGTATATTTCTGTAAAAAGAGCGTCATCCCCTTTGCTTTGATTGCAAGGATCAGGGAATTAATTAACATCAGAAATGATGTCACCTGTTAACCCCTTTTATATATACAGTAAAACCTGTTTTAGTGAACACCTCTCACTAGTGGACACCTGTGTTTAGTGAACACCACTTCAAGACATAATTTACATTGACTCCCTGTATAGAATCCCCTCTCTGTAGTATACACCTAGCTACAGTAAACACATTTTTGTGCTTCCATAGGTGTTCACTTTCTACAGGTTTTACTGTACTTTGTATAATTATGTTATTAAGGAATAAGTTGAATTGAATTTTAAAGAGAGAATCAGATCTAGCAAGCAGGCCAACAAAAAAATGTTTCAATTTTAGAATATTTCTGGCTTATGTCATTCCTTGTCATGTCTATTTTCTAAAAATCCCCAAAGTGCACACTTTTTCTCAGGAAAACTCAAGATTTTTACAATTATGTATTATTTTTCTATAAGAATGGTTACCATTCTTATTATTTGGGAGAATTTAAACATTTTCACCCATTTTTGAACATTGGATTCATAATTACTTCCCCAATTTAAAACACATCGTGAATCTTTTGGGAGATATTGTATTTGAGATTGTAAAGAATAGATTAATAGGTCAATTGTACATGTTGGTTGCAATTTTTTCACCCCTGTATCTCTGATTCTGCCTTTAAAAAAACTATTTCTAGCAAGAAATATCATAATTGAGCATTAATTCACTTAACCAGATTAATCTGAAAAACTGTGTTTTGTTTCATTAACAATACAAAGTGATTAAATAACACTTGAAAATTTCCTACGGTTACTGTGATTCTTTAAACAATGTGCTGTGTTACAAATATTTAGACTGTTAGTCCAGATGTGTGAAGTGTTTTGGCTATGTAGAGTTTTTGATGGTCTCAACATTATGATTTGTTTAACATTTCACTTAGTATGCCAATGTGACCACCTACATCATAGAACTGGAAAACATGATGTATTTTCATTGGCATCTTGAATTTGCTGATGACATCTTTCAACATAGGATATATATGATTTTATGTTCATGTAGAGTATAGATATGGCCGTGAGAGTCGTACATGTAAAATTATTAATATAAAATTAATATAAATAAATATTGAGCCAATTAACACAAAAGACAATACCTTTGAAAATAATGGCTAATTTAAGTTAATTAGCTACAAGAGTTTACAATTAGACATAACTGTTAATTAGCTCAATTGGATATATTATAATACCATCTCCAACTCATCTTCTTGGGCGAAAATAAGGCTCCAACTGGTGGTGTAAGCTGGGGAAGGAGGTGAGGGAAAAGAATCGAAATGTATAACTTACATTGATGTTAATGGATTTTGTACGCACCTAGGGAGAAAACCCTCCAACTACAATCCTATCGATATCTCGTCTAAAGTCTCATCTCGTACTCTCGAGATCTGAAGCTTGATGTTTCGTTCAGTGTAACTTACCAGAAACATTTACCTGGGATAACCGGGGTATGGTCTTCTTAGGGCTTGTTCATACCTAAACCTTAACCGACTCTCACATTGCCATAAATGAAATTATTGTCAATAATTTGAATTTATGTTCATGTAGAGTATAGATATGGCCGTGAGAGTCGTACATGTAAAATTATTAATATAAAATTAATATAAATAAATATTGAGCCAATTAACACAAAAGACAATACCTTTGAAAATAATGGCTAATTTAAGTTAATTAGCTACAAGAGTTTACAATTAGACATAACTGTTAATTAGCTCAATTGGATATATTATAATACCATCTCCAACTCATCTTCTTGGGCGAAAATAAGGCCATGCGCGATCTCTCGCGAGAGCCCAAAAGAAAAGAAGATTAATTAGAAAGTAGTTAAATCATTTAATGATACACACAAATCAATACATGAATACCAAATTATAAGAACATCATAGAAATGAACTAAAGTAAATCTGTAAATTCTGAAATATGGATGGACAAATTAATGTAATGTAATATGCTGTAAATCTCAGGTAAGATAAAGGAATTAGAATTGAATGAAAATTTTTGAATTCAGAAAGTGCGGGTTTATCTCAATTAAATTTCTAGTACATCATGAAGAAAAAAAAAACAAAAACAGTAGCTACTTGAAATTTGCATGCTCGACACCTGTTTGAGCCGACTTTGGGGTTTACATGAAAATTGAATACTCGACACCTGTCTGAGCAACTTTGGGGCTTTAATGAAAATTGCATACTCGACACCAGTCTGAGTTTAAAAATGTCTACCTAATATATTTTTAATGAATGTATGTATGTCATCTCCCAATCTTATGATAGTATAGTCATCAAGTCCAAGATTTGAGGCCCATGTAGCTCCGCCTATCCGCAAACTGTGGCATTTATAGAAGGTAGGATCTACCTGACATTGAACAAAGAGTTTGTGAAGAAAATTGTTAAATACAGAAGTATTCACTGGAGCATCTCTATAAATGAAAAGAGGACCTGATTTAAAGGACCTATGTTCAGGTACAACTTCATATGTAATACTGGACAACAAGATGGTAATTGAGAATAAATTGATATCGTAGCAGGAGATGAGCTATGTTTAAAATGTGAAAAAGTAATAATGAAAAAGGCTTCATCGGGAGAGAATTTAATACTTCTAACTGTAAGTTGTGTCCTGCGGAAGTACTTGTCAACTCACTACTTCTTAGTAAGCCAAAAAGGCTGTAGATAACATAGCTCTGTACAAGACTTGAGCAAAAGGGTCAAAATCTACTTCAGAAGTTTTTAGAAACCATTTGTTCTAACAAGGGTGTGTTGATTGGCAATCTAGTGTCTATGCTAGGATTTTTTAACAAAAACCAGAAACTATTTGAGAGACTACATAAGAAGTAGTGGGATCCTTGAAATTGTTAATTATGAAAATATGATAAAAATGATATACCAGACAGAACTGACTTGAATGAATTAGGGGGATAATTCTTTAAACGAAGATGTGCTGCAAAAAGGCTAGCAGAGGCTGGGGTTAGAGGAAATTCACCTATACCTGTCTGGGAGTTGAACTGTACTAATAAATCATATGACTTTCTGGTAGACGGGGCTTGGGCAGCTTGAAGTGCTTCTAAAAAGATAAAAAGTAACAAAAATGTTTCTAGATAAAGCGTCAGCAGCAGAATTAAGAATACCAGCAATGTGTTCACTTTGAACATGATATTGTTAAAGAGACATTTTAATATATAGGAAGTAAGAGTTGCATGGACGTTTGATTGCTGGTAGAAAATTTATTTCGGTATGTTCACTACTGCTTCATTGTCAGAATGCAGGATAACTGTGTGTCCAGACATAAGTTTTGCCTATGTAAGTATAGCAGTAACAATAGGATATAATTCAAGAATATTGATGTCCAATTCTTGCCATTCTGATGGCCATTCCCCTTTAAACCAAAGAATATTGCAAACGGCTCCATAGCCTATCGTAGTAGAAGCATCGGTAAAAGATGCAATTGTTCTCTTGTCTCTTGTTCTTCTGTAAGGAAAATAGATTTCCCAGTAAAGGGAATTAGAAACTATTTCCACAATAATAAATCCTGCATAGATGGAGTGTTGATTAAGATTTTATAATGTAGCTCCTTCATTTTTAGATAGATGAATAAATAATGAAATAAATGATCTACCGAAAGGAATCACACAACAACAGTAGCTAGGGAATCCTATAGCAGATAAAAGTTCTCTTTGAGACTTTCTTAGGTTTTGGCTTAATGGTAAAGGGGTTGATGTTACATAAAGTGTCAATGATTGTTTTGCCATTTCCATGAGCAAACAAGCTTCTAATGGTCTTACACAAGAAGCAACCTTTTCCTAAATGTTTTATAATATCTATGGCTTGTTGTACGGTTGCATATTTAACTGTAGAAGTTTCGTCTGGGATAGTATCATTATGGATTGGCCTCTGGGATGTGATAAGTTGTGAATAACACAGAATTCACCTGGAGATTTTTAGGAACGAGAAATAAGGGTGAAATAATATCAAATGGTGGCTGGTCAAAAGGTACAAGTATTCTACCAGCTTCAAGCTCTTTGTTTAATTTTTTGAGAGCTTCTGGGTTCTTAGATATGATGACAAATTATCATGAGTAATGTTGTAATGTTCTGGCAAATCAGAGTGAGGAAATTTAAATCCGTACTAGAAACCATGAACTGTTTATTCTTGATGTTCATAGCCTTCAAGCCAATATCTGAGTCTTTCAGGTTTAACTGGAGTAACAACTTGTGTTGACATAAGTTCACTCGAAGGGTTTTTTGGAGTCTCCAGTACCTGAGCGCTTTTTGTTGGGGAATTGGGCTTGCCTGCCGTTGTTGCGGGAGTAACATTTTGCAAGTTGGGCAGGTGTGGTTAAAGGGACAAGGGGATATATATTTCAAGAGGTGAGGGGTTTGATCATGAAATCTTTGGGTATAGACAGCAATAAATATACTGAATGCTCGGACCCATTCTGGAAATGAAAGGATTTTTCCTTCTTTGAAAGGTTTAAATTCAAATGTTTTGATTCAAAAGAATTGTCAGATTACATCTCACAGAGGACATAATCATTGTTTTTGTCTTCTTCAATACAATCATGAATCAATACATGAATACCAAAATATAAGAATATCATAGAAATGAATTAAAGTAAATGAAATATGGACAAATTAATGTAATGTAATATGTTGAAAACTGGGAATTGGATTTATTGAAGCTACTGACACCTGTCCTTGTAGCATGGCATTTGTGTTGGGAATTAATCCATAAGCTGTAGAGACGGGTTGGGAATTATGAAAAGCTGAAAGGTTAGTAGAGACTGGAGGGATGAAAGGGTAGGGTTGGATATTAGCGCTTGATGCAAAAGATGGAATAGGGCGAGTAATAGATGCTGTGGGTCTATTTAGAGAGAATGAAATGTTGGGTTGGAATGGAAGATGTAGTGGAATAAGAAGGGAAAGGGGATAAGGGAAAAGTTGTTGTAAAGTTGCCCCTTATTAAAGTGGGCATAGACTTGGTTGCAGTCAGGGTATAAGAAGTGTGATACTCTTCAATAGTAATACTTGGGTTAGGTCCTTCAGTTTCAGACATTGCAGTGAAATAATTAGTAGTTATATAGAGGGTAAGCAAATTCAAGACATAAAAACATTTAGATAAATATAAATAGAAGCACATGCTCCATGTTAGATGTATATAAATATGATGCCCATAAGGCTAATCATAATAAATATGATTTAGAATACACTGCATAAATAAATGCATATGATATATAAAGATTATGAATTATCATAATATAAATATGATGCCCATAAGGCTAATCATAATAAATATGATTTAGAATACACTGCATAAATAAATGCATATGATATATAAAGATTATGAATTATCATAATATAAATATGATGCCCATAAGGCTAATCATAATAAATATGATTTAGAATACACTGCATAAATAAATGCATATGATAAATAAAAATTGAATTATCATAATATAAATATGATAACCTTTAAGAATAAAGGTAAAGTATACAATGCATGAATAAATGCATATGATATATAAAATAATATGAATTATCATAATATAAATATGATAACCTTTAAGAATAAAGGTAAAGCATACAATGCATGAATATGAAATATAAAATAATATGAATTTTATCATAATATAAATATGATAACATATCATGTCTAAAGGTATAGTATACACTGCATGAATAAATGCAGATGATATACAAAATAATATATATTTATCATAATATAAATATGATAAAATATAAGTAAACAGGAAACTAAATTTCCTAATATAAGTATAGTACTTATGAAGGAAAACTAAGTGAATAAACTAATGTGAAAAGTTAACGACTCTCTGGCTTATGTTTGGTTAGAGAAGAGTAGCCGTCTCTTCTAATGTTAAGTCTAATTATTATTACCTAATAAATGTAATCAAGAAATATCAGGACTGCGCCTTCCCAGGACTTGACGAAACGCTTTTCCCCTTTGCATTGAGATGTATGGGATCGTAGGAGTAATCTATCAAATTTGACCATTGATTCTATATTGGGTAGTATGTGGGTGATGTAGGAACAAAAGTCTATTGCCCTTATGATGATGAATATCATTTTACAATTTGAAATTGGTAGATAAAATATTGAATTATATTGAATGCCTTCTGAAGCAGTATTGATCGAGGATTTGAAAGGATGCCATGAGCGTTGAAATAGTTCTCAATATAAAAGGCTTTTAATGAAGGATGTATATCTAAATATTGTTCAGCCAAAGTGATGAGATTTTTTGCAACAAAGGTAGATGATCTATGAACCAGATCATTTTTTCCTAGCTGTAATATAGCCATATCTGGATAGGGATTTTTATATTTTACATCATCTGAAATTGTTTAATTGTATATACAATGATGGTATTATAGTTAACTATGTCTTCCTTTAATTTAAAGTCAAAAAGGTTAGATTCTTCTATTTTCCGAACAAAACTGTCCTATAATGCTGACCCTAATAACATTAGGCATCTCTAATTGTCTTGTAAAATGGGAGAAGAAAGGTAAGGATATTATTGACTCCTGTCTTATCCTCAGAGTAAAGTTTATTATGTGCAATAAGGTGTCAGAAATATAGAAGAAAAGGAATAATTAGCTCTCTCAAGAGATAAATATATATCAAATAATAAAATGAAATCTGTACCTTAATGGTACTATGAATAATCCCAATAACAACCAGAAATCTCTGGAATGGGATAATAAAATAGAATAGATATATTTATTTAATAGCCTACAAGGTTACTTACACTCGTAAATAAATGAAATATCTATTATTAGATTGGAAGGAGTCTATTGAACGTAACTTGAGGACATGTATGTGACTTACTTAGGTCCAAACCTTCTCTATATTCCGGCTTTGAGTAGAAAGATTAGCTGCCTTGGTGTTGTAAATATTGTAAATCAATGTGTCACACACACAGGAAATACGGCATAATAATATGAAATATATCTTTATGTATAGATTTGAGAAACATCAGCACACATCTCCGTCTGAATCTATTGTTATATTTGATTTCTTTAAGCCAGAATAATTTCAAAGTTTCCTACATTATTGACGTCTGGAACCGGAAGCCATTTTTAGCTACAGCGAGAAAATTTAACCATGTGTCAAACTCCGAAAAGAAATTTTGAAATATCTAAAACCAGACAAGCAACGCTTCATCCTAAATATAATTAAAATAAAATGAATTATCGGTGCGTGTATCAATTTTTACATACGAAATACGAGTACATACGAAATAAATGAAGTTACATCTAGCTGTAAGGTAGAGACTCGAGTAATATGTGACGTGTCCATATTCATCAATAAATTAATTCTTTTGTATAAATTCAAGTTGTAAACCATATGAACGAGATATCAATTGAATACTTCAAACATAAAACTACAAAGTCATAAAGACAAAAGATAAAACGTGTTTGAAATTTTTTTTTTTTTTTGAACTTTTTTAAACTGACGTTTTTAGTGTGAAATATTACGATAAAATTTTCACAAAACGATTCAGCGATAGATAAATGTATATACAAGAGATAAATGTCGATAAAAAGAATCGAAATGTATAACTTACATTGATGTTAATGGATTTTGTACGCACCTAGGGAGAAAACCCTCCAACTACAATCCTATCGATATCTCGTCTAAAGTCTCATCTCGTACTCTCGAGATCTGAAGCTTGATGTTTCGTTCAGTGTAACTTACCAGAAACATTTACCTGGGATAACCGGGGTATGGTCTTCTTAGGGCTTGTTCATACCTAAACCTTAACCGACTCTCACATTGCCATAAATGAAATTATTGTCAATAATTTGAATTTGCCATGTTGCTTAATTCGTTAATTAACATACATACATACAAGTGATTTTTTAAAATATGATAACTGAAAGGAGTTTGAATATAAATGGTTGAGAATAGTATATATAGTTAAACCTGTAAATGAAGAACACCTCTCTGAAGTAAACACCACTTAATGAACACGTTTTGCATATTTTGTTAACACCTATAATGTACATATAAGAGTATCTGCATTGTAATTCCTTTTCTTAGACAGGGCCTTATATAAGCACCCACTTTAAGAACACATTAATGGCTTGATGCTTAATCCATCACCTATTTGCAAAAATGAAATGCTTTTTCTCGCTAATAGGTGGAGCTGAGTGGTGGCGTGCCGCATCTGAACATGCCCGTCATCTATCTGGGCACACTGGCTTAGACTATTTTGGGGCAGCAGGACTTGGGGCAAGCTGGCCTCCATATGGGGGGCTTAACACACTGGATGCGGCCAGCTTGGATCTGTTGCTAAGGCAATCAGCTGCACAGAAAAGTAAGCTTGGCTTCATGTTCCTGTTACCTGGGGGGAGGGCACCCCATTGGGCAACAAACAGGGTGAAAGGGTAAAAAAACAGGGTCAAAATAACTAAAGTGAATCTGCAACTTAATTACCTATGTCCGTTGAAATGATAGAATAATTTTTGGTGCCTTAAATATATTTTTAGAATTGCAGGATGAGGGTATCTTCTTCAAAATTATTTGAGTTACAGTATCTTTTTGACTTGTCAACTACTCATCAATATTGATTGGTTCATTAAATAATGGCTGATAATTCATCACCCTTCTATGATAGATTCTACCTTTAAATACCTTTAAATGTGACGATGGACAAAATAATGCCTAAGCTTGTATTCGTGAATACAAATTTTGGCTGTCAGGTACCAGATTAACCTACGATTTTATGACCAACTTATTTATATAATGAATGGAATAGTGGCAGGTACTATTTGAATTTAAATGAGGTCCCCATAAAATAGTAGGTTAATCGGGTAGCCGGAAGCCGTTAGTTGCATTCACGAATATAAGCTTAGAATGTGCCAATGTACCAGAACTAGATTAAGCCTTCAATATGACAAAGAGGAGTTAACCCATTGGGAGCCTGGAATAAGACTCACTGGCAGTGAGATGCTTGTTAAATGCTTGAAAGTGATCCTTTTGTTAACTCCTGATTCATGTGTGAACCACATTGGTGTGTGGAAGAAATAGCACCATTACCCAGCAAATACCAATACAATCCTTTTTTGTCAGAAAAGCACATCTTTGCACAAACTCAGTGTTCTATGTAAATACAAAGTGAACATATATGCTAACAATTCTTTGTGATTTGCCACTCTTATTAACTACAATTGTATTTAACTATAACATGATGAAATAAAACAGATTCTACGAAATATTGAAATTGTATGATTTCCAGAATGTCCTTTTCCTGATTTGTGGCATCACACAAATATACATGTTCAACCTCAGAAAACGTTGTCTTTCATCTGCTATTTATTTGAGCTTCTGACATCTGGGAAAACAGATGGCTGAACAGGAAAAGAAAATAGCAAAATTGTAAATCATCTACTTGTTGCGAATCATCCATGATCAGAAAAAATGAGGGGGAATCTTATGTAAACAAAGAATTTTTACTCCCACCAAAAATATTAATCCAACAACGGTAATAGGAGTCTGATAGATGATATTTTTTATTTCAGATTTAAATGGCGTGTTTGGGAATCCATTATTTATGCCTCCTCATTTTCTGTCAGCCTCAACCGTTGCCACGACAACTACAGCCAGGAGCGGTAGTCGCAGCAGTACCCCAATTTCATCCCCTACCAAGTTAACAAGCAGCAGCTCTGTGGGGAAACCTAGCAGTGCAGCTAAACAATCATCAGTAATACACAACAGTGTTCAGAGTCCTAGTGCTTTAAGTCCCAATGGTCCCATGAACCTAAGTGGTTCAAGTGGGGGTGACAAGCGGAGAAAGAGATCAAGTGAATCATGCAGTTCAACAGTAACAAGCACCCACTCCCCTGTCATATGTTCTGTTCCTAGGCCAGTTATCTCCCCTGCTGTATTATCTCCCAATAGACTAAAAGAAGCAACAAACCAGGTGAGAATAATCTCTATTCAGGCCCGTATCCATTGGGGGGGGGGGGTTGTTTGGGTGGTTCCCCCATTAGCTACGTGAACCCCCTCCCCTGAAATTTTTTGAAAAGTGAACCTTCCTTAGCAAAAATTGGCCTGCAAAATAATTGGAAATACATCAGTCATTGAGCCCAAGTGGCTTAGTTGAATCATCATTGTTGTGTAGCTACCTATGACAAGAAATCAACCTTATCTACACTATTATGATTTAAATGAAAGAGAACTTGAGCCCGTATCCAATCAGTAGTCAACAAATCATAACACTACATTTTATGTCCACAAGCAAGAGCTATCATTTTGTTCAAAAGTTACATGTAAAGATCTTACCAAAAATGTGGCTTAGCCATTATGGGAATTCAAGTGACAAAGATATTTTGATAGACTAATCAGTTATGACGATATTGCATTGTACCAAAATTTCAGCTAAATTAGATGCATAACCAACCAACCGGCATATTGTAGAATAAAATATTATAATGTGATTCAATGTGCTTCAGAGCAAACAGGTTGAGAGTGACAGTTCCGGAGACACTGATAGTAGCGACAGTGATGACTCGGACAGCGAGGATGAGGACATAAAAGCAAAGCATAATGAACCAGAACAGAAGATGAACAATGAAGAAAAGGTTGGTTTTAAAGGCTATAATACTGAAATAGCAATATTACTTGATTCTAAAAATCTTGAGTTTTTTGAAAAAGCAGGGGATTATATGTAAATATTGGGATTTATCTCAAGTTTTGATTAAAAAATTGGGGTAAGCTCTAAAAAATCAGGATTCCTCTCAATTTAAACCGGGATTTTACAGATGAACCTGATATGACTACTTCCACAAGGAACTATATTGTTAATCCTTTGTTAAATGTCTTTGTCTTGTAGCCTGCTGCCCCTAGCCTATCCAGCCCTAGCACCAAATTCAATATAGCAGAGCTTCTAAAGCAGCACCATCAGCAGAATCAAGAGCAGCGCAAGCAACATGAAGCAGCAGCTGCCACAGCCCAAGCAGCACAAATCGATAAAAAGAGGCAGCAGAAACGAAGCCGGAAAGACTCTGGAAATGAGTCAGAAATAGAACCACAGCATAAACGATTATTAATTGAACATTTTAAACAGAAACCGCAACTCCCCTCGGATATCTCCCACTTGCCTCCATCTACAGGTAGCCCTGAGAAGAATGAGGACCCTAAGAAGGGGAGAGGGCGGGGAAGGGGTAAAGGGAGACCAAAAGAGCCAGTGCAACTGCAATCCAATGAAGAATTAGAGGTACGTATAATATGTTTATGAATATGAGTTCACAACAGATTTTCACAAAAATTTCATTTTTGAAGTTTTAAATTATTTATTAAAGCACATTTTATCTATGATTATTATAGCAACAGCGAGCGCGTAATGAACTCTTGAAGAAAACGTTTGAAAAGGAGCTAAAACAGCAACAGTTAGCTCTAAAACTGGCGCGCAAGGCTCAACAAATTCGAGAAAGAGATGCTGTTCTCAAGGTACAAGAACTGGCAAAGCAGGAAAACGAGAAGTTAGCTGTGAATAAGTCCAAAGCAATGGTAAAGACCCAACAGGCATTATTCCCACATTTAACAAAGCAACTACAGAAACAGGCGGCCAAGGAGAAACAAGACAAGCAAGGTTCGAAACAGGACAAGCAAGCATCAAAGTACAAGCCACGTCAATCAAAGCTCGCTCAGGTAAGTGCAACTGTATGCTACATGCTATGTTCTATCATCCTCCTCCATTTTTCATGGATGCATTTATTGTCTGCGAGATTGAATTAGGTTTTCTATGTTTCCTAAGTGACATCCATACATTCAAGTAGATTTCATGTTAAAGGATTGGGTGAAATACATATTTAAGTGAAACCCACCAGAATGTACAGCCTCAGGAAATGGGTTGGGTGGGAGGGTAACTTATTTTTCAATCATTTCCCAATTTCATGATATTTCATCCAAATTTCATGATATGTAAACTATTATCCATTCCATTCGCTAATGACTACCTCCCTCGAATTCCCTATTTAGAATAAACATTCACTCTACTCAATAATATAGATGTCACTTAGGAAATCTATGTTTCCTAAGTGACATCCATACATTCAAGTAGATTTCATGTTAAAGGATTGGGTGAAATACACATTTAATTTTACCCTTTACGGTGTATTTACATCCTGAAAAATGTGATTTGTTAATTTTACTACTCCCAATCCTCAAATCTTTAATAAAAAATTAACAAAAAACTAACGTGGACATCGGATTTGAGAGCAATCTCTCCCAGTAGTTCTAGTAGATGGTTTTCCATGATGTAATCATGAAGCTAATAAAACCTAAAATTGACCTCATATCAATGTTTCATTCATGAATTACTGGTGGGGAAAAATCAGTCCCCTAACATGAGTAATCAACCTCAATTGCCAATTACCTCCTACTGTGGAGAGACAACTCTCACATCCGAAGTCCACGTGGTTAAAACCACTAAGAGATCAGTGCTCCCGGACTTTAGATGTAAAGAGAAGCCAATTGTTTATCAGACTTCACTAGTTTCAAATGTTACAAACTCAAGTCATTTTCAAATTAGTTTACAAGAGGGTACATGGAAACCAATCACTTGCATAGGTTATCCAGTCATGTCAAAACAATTCAACCTACTTTCTATTGAGTAAACCCCAGTTTTCATTCAATTGCCAATTATCAGATTATACCTGAATGTCATTATTTTTGTCACACTGTACTATAACGTACTGTATAATGACCTCTAATTTTACTGTGTTATTAACACATTGAATTTCCAGTGTTCATTATAAAGGCCATGTTATCAAGATTTTTCATGTCATCAATGTTCTATTTTTCTTTGTTTCTGTCAAATATTTGCCTCTCAGAAAACTTCTCTTATATTGTCTCATAGTTATATTTAATAGCCCCTTGCTCTGGCGTATATCTCTGTATCTCTAGGCTCTCAAGGCCTTTTATTCATTACCCCTCATGATTCATATTTTTTTCCCCCTGCTTTTTTTATTTTATTTTAGCCCCTTGCTCGGGCATTTATATCTAGGCCCTCAAAGCCTTTTATTTTAGCCCCTTGCTCGGGCATTTATATCTAGGCCCTCAAAGCCTTTTATTTTTAGCCCCTTGCTCGGGCATTTATATCTCTAGGCCCTCAAAGCCTTTTAATCTCTAGGCCCTCAAAGCCTTTTATTTTAGCCCCTTGCTCGGGCATTATATCTCTAGGCCCTCAAAGCCTTTTATTTTAGCCCCTTGCTCGGGCGCCCCTTGCTCGGGCATGTAAATCAAAATATGCTTACCACTGCTGAATGTACGTCTGGCCACTTCGAATTCCCTATTTAGAATAAACATTCACTCTACTCAATAATATAGATGTCACTTAGGAAAGTGTTGTATGAAATGTCAAGACCAGTCATGGAGATTGCTGATGCGTCTACATGCCATAAGGACTTACTAGTATTTGTCTTGAAGTTGTTGTTTCATGTTAAAGGATTGGGTGAAATACACATTTAATTTTACCCTTTACGGTGTATTTACATCCTGAAAAATGTGATTTGTTAATTTTACTACTCCCAATCCTCAAATCTTTAATAAAAAATTAACAAAAAACTAACGTGGACATCGGATTTGAGAGCAATCTCTCCCAGTAGTTCTAGTAGATGGTTTTCCATGATGTAATCATGAAGCTAATAAAACCTAAAATTGACCTCATATCAATGTTTCATTCATGAATTACTGGTGGGGAAAAATCAGTCCCCTAACATGAGTAATCAACCTCAATTGCCAATTACCTCCTACTGTGGAGAGACAACTCTCACATCCGAAGTCCACGTGGTTAAAACCACTAAGAGATCAGTGCTCCCGGACTTTAGATGTAAAGAGAAGCCAATTGTTTATCAGACTTCACTAGTTTCAAATGTTACAAACTCAAGTCATTTTCAAATTAGTTTACAAGAGGGTACATGGAAACCAATCACTTGCATAGGTTATCCAGTCATGTCAAAACAATTCAACCTACTTTCTATTGAGTAAACCCCAGTTTTCATTCAATTGCCAATTATCAGATTATACCTGAATGTCATTATTTTTGTCACACTGTACTATAACGTACTGTATAATGACCTCTAATTTTACTGTGTTATTAACACATTGAATTTCCAGTGTTCATTATAAAGGCCATGTTATCAAGATTTTTCATGTCATCAATGTTCTATTTTTCTTTGTTTCTGTCAAATATTTGCCTCTCAGAAAACTTCTCTTATATTGTCTCATAGTTATATTTAATAGCCCCTTGCTGTGGCGTATATCTCTGTATCTCTAGGCTCTCAAGGCCTTTTATTCATTACCCCTCATGATTCATATTTTTTTCCCCCTGCTTTTTTTATTTTATTTTAGCCCCTTGCTCGGGCATTTATATCTAGGCCCTCAAAGCCTTTTATTTTAGCCCCTTGCTCGGGCATTTATATCTAGGCCCTCAAAGCCTTTTATTTTTAGCCCCTTGCTCGGGCATTTATATCTCTAGGCCCTCAAAGCCTTTTAATCTCTAGGCCCTCAAAGCCTTTTATTTTAGCCCCTTGCTCGGGCATTATATCTCTAGGCCCTCAAAGCCTTTTATTTTAGCCCCTTGCTCGGGCGCCCCTTGCTCGGGCGCCCCTTGCTCGGGCATGTAAATCAAAATATGCTTACCACTGCTGAATGTACGTCTGGCCACTTCGAATTCCCTATTTAGAATAAACATTCACTCTACTCAATAATATAGATGTCACTTAGGAAAGTGTTGTATGAAATGTCAAGACCAGTCATGGAGATTGCTGATGCGTCTACATGCCATAAGGACTTACTAGTATTTGTCTTGAAGTTGTTAATCATTCAATTTATGATAACATGGTTGTCCCTTTAACAGCTCAATTCCCAGAAACATTGAGCAGTAGGCTTGGAAATCAGTGACATTTTGAAATTTGCAATATTATTGCTGAAACAAAAAGTAAATATTGACCAGTCCACTATGGAAGGTGATAACTGGGGACCACCCCACCCTTGAAAATAAACCTGACATTGAGACCATATTTTATAGGCATTGCTAGGAGTTCCCATATCTGGTCAACCCGAGACTGAGGACTCTGAGGGTGCAACTGATCTGAGCACTTCTCAGCAGAAAGAGGCCAGATTCAAAGAATTCACTGACAGTCTGACTGAGACACCTGCTAGTGCAGGCAGTGAACAGTCTGATGGAGATGCTGATGATTCAGGTACTGCAGCTAAAAGATAAAGCATTGTCAAATGCAATAAAGGCATAATTTGTAATTTGATGAACCAGAATGAATCTTAATACTATATCATTTTTTATCCCACCGAACGAAATTCGAGGGGGATATAGAGAAGCCGTCCGTCCGTTTGTCCGTCCGTGTGTCCGGGCGATAACTCCAATACCGGTTGACGGATTTGGTTCAAATTTTATAGGCTTATGCCTTATGAGTGTAGGACCTCTGCTCGAGAAGGAATTTTCAATATGGCTGCTCAATTCAAAATGGCCACCATTTTTCGTAAAAATGTAATTGTTGATAACTCAAATACAAGTTGACGGATTTGGTTCAAATTTTATATGCTGATGCCTAGGGACAAAGGAGTTTCGCACAAAAAGTGATTTTCAAGATGGCTGCTTAATTTCAAAATGGCGGCCATTTTTCGTAAAAATATGTAATCTTTGATAAGGCCATAAGAAGTACATGTAGATTCTTTGGTGCGTCCCCTTGCTTGCATGATTTTGAGTAGATCAGAAAAAACAAACACATCAAAATAGCAATCACAAGGGTCTGAAAGTACCATTGCATTTCGTTCAATCAGAATCAGAAGAAATGGCGGATAATTTGATGTGCATCAAAATTAACAGTATTATTGATTACTTTGGCATACATTGTGTATTTTCTTACTTTGAACCCTTGAATAATATAGTTTATATTATATAATTATAAACAATATAGATATGTCTTCGTTATCACTGCAAACTGGTATGTCATCCCATTTTATTCTCATAAAATGTATACATTTCTCAGCAAACAAGTTTGTGTTTTTTCTTGAGTTTGTGTTTGTTTTCCTTGTACCCTTGCATGATTTGGATTTTGCCAGGACGCAAAACAAAGAATCTACTTCTTATGGCCTAACTCAAATACCAGTGAACGGATTTGGTCCAAATTTTATACGATGATGCTTAGGGACACAGTAGGTATGTTCGACAAAAAAATTTCAAGATGGCCGCTTAATTTCAAAATGGCGGCAATTTTTTGTAAAAAAACGCAATCTTTGATAACTCAAATACCAGTGAACAATTTTATACGATTATGCCTAGGGACACAGTAGCTCTGTTCAAGAAATAATTTTCAAGATGGCAGCTGAATTTCAAGATGGCGGCCAATTTTTGTAAAAAACGTAATCTTTGATAACTCATATACCAGTGAACGGATTTGGTTCAAATTTTATATGATAATGCCTAGTTCACAATGGTATAAACTAACTTTGTGCCAAATTTCATGCTTCTATCACAAAGTGCACAAACATTTCAACATTTACACTAGCTATAATAAGCATAATATGTTTTGTTCGGTGGGATTTGCTACTCCGTAGAGTTGCTGTTTTTCTAGTTATTCATAGAATTTATTCCACATTTAAAAAACATAAACATCATATTGGTTGCTTATATGTTTTAATTCTAATTTGAAGTCAAAGAAGTCTTCAATTCCAAGGAGAAAGTTGATGTCCAAATGTTTCTAGCAAATGACTATTGTATGAAGTGTGTATTTCAGCAACTGGAAATTGGTTTTCATTTCCAATAATTCCCAGTAAACTGGTGATTTTTGTGTTACCATCTCCTAGTATGTTGTAGCTTTCCCCTGATTGATTCTTGTATATTGGTCCTCAAACATTACATATTGGAAATTATACATTGCATTGTATCATATTGGAAATTATAAATTGCATTGTATCATATTGGAAATTATACATTGCATTGTATCATATTGGAAATTATACATTGCATTATATCATATTGGAAATTACACATTGCATTGTATCATATTGGAAATTATACATTGCATTGTATCATATTGGAAATTACTTGTATACATTGCATTGTATCATATTGGAAATTATACATTGCATTGTATCATATTGGAAATTACTTGTATACATTGCATTGTATCATATTGGAAATTACTTGTATACATTGCATTGTATCATATTGGAAATTACTTGTATACATTGCATTGTATCATATTGGAAATTACTTGTATACATTGCATTGTATCATATTGGAAATTATACATTGCATTGTATCATATTGGAAATTATACATTGCATTGTATCATATTGGAAATTACTTGTATACATTGCATTGTATCATATTGGAAATTATACATTGCATTGTATTGTGCTTCATTTACTTGACAGAAATTGTGTCTTTATATCCAGATTCTGATGGGGACAGTAGTAATAGTGGATCATCTAGCAACTCTGATGATTCAGACTCGGACAACACTGGTTCCCATAGCAACCAGGACACACTGGGAGAGATGGGAAAAGAAGATAGAATGTCTGGCACTGATGGTAAGAGTCAGTATAAAGTTATGAAATAATTCATGCTAATTCCACAATATTTCTTCCTAAAAATTCGATGAACTATGTGACGTGATACTCTGGTGATTTTACACAATTTTGAATACTGTTGAAGGCATGCCTGTTTACTTCATTTCTTGTTGGTTCCTCTATTTTCTACTCTATTCACACGATGAAAGGAAACATAATGTTGTTTCCAAGAACACATAAAAAAAAAATTATAAGTTGACAGGATCACTTCCACCTTGTTGAAAACTATGACCATAATATCCATAGTTCTACCATTAAACTCTGATATTATTTTAAATGAACAGATTTTAGTAAAACAATATATTTTGGCATGCTATAATTATATAAAATTATTCAAGAGGATAACCAATCCCCTTATGCAATATTGCTTTAATCGAATGGAATAAATATATTGCTTTAATCGAATGGAATAAACATATTGCTTTAATCGAATGGAATAAACATATTGCTTTCATCGAATGGAATAAATATATTGCTTTAATCAAATTGAATAAACATATTGCTTTAATCGAATGGAATAAACATATTGCTTTAATCAAATGGAATAAATATATTGCTTTAATCAAATGGAATAAATTAAAATAAATTTTTATTTGTAGCGTTGTTTCCTCCCTCCAAGAAGAGAAGAGTTATTGACGAGACTGAAGTTCGGATTCCTTTGGAATATGGGTAACTGAGTTTTTTAGTCGCTTATGTTTGATTTTAGTCACTTATGTTATATTGGTATTATTCCTTAAATTGTATTGCAACAAGCAACAAGCATATCCTTTTTGAACCCCTCTCAGTATGTGGCTTATATACATAGAGGGTTGTATAAAAATTCATTACTTCTCTTTTATGTAATGAGGTAAGCTTCAGATGTAAACCCATATTTATTCTATTTCAGGTGGCGCAGAGAAACTCGAATCAGGAGCGTGTCACAGCGTGGTTTCAGTGGGGAAGTTCTCTACTTTGCTCCCTGTGGCAAGAAACTTCGCACGTATCAGGAAGTGGAGAAGGTAATTTTTTAAACTCTGTTGTACATTCCAAAAGTAGTTATACAACAAACTTTTTCTCAGTCAAAATCTATTCACTCTTCCACAAAACTTGTTCTGTGTCATATTGTGATTTACGTTTAGTAAGAAATTCTGCATGCCATAATAAATTTATATGCAATATAATGTGAACAAAGTATAAAGTAGTCTTTAAGGTAATTAAACACTAATAAAGTATTGATAAATGGTATTTGTTTTCTTCTAAAATCATGTAAATGTAAATAACCAATGGATTTAATGTTTTCTATGACCAAGACACACTGTAAGTTGCGGGTGCTCAAATGTGATTTTTAATGTTCATATGGTACATGATTCTCATTTTCATTCCAGTATCTGGCAGCCAATGATATCACAGATCTCACCAGAGAAAACTTTGCATTCACACTCAAGGTGAAAGTCGGAACTTTTCTCGAGGCCAAACATGGAGAAGGGGAAAATGTGAGTTTTAATGAAAAATTAGCATAATAATTTGTATTAAAAATTTGTCAAAGATTTTCGGCAGAAAAACATGCAACAAATAATATAATATTATTATTAGCCCTTAGAACCAGTCCAGAAGTGAGTTTTATAAAATGAAAAACTCTGTGACAAATCATTCCAAACAGTGTTTTAAGCCAGAAATCCCAATAAAGAAGGACATACTAGTATCTGTCATAAGAGTAAGAGATACTACACTAGTAAAACATCTGGATATTACCAAGCAGTTTTTTAGAAAAGCCATGAATAATAAACCATATGATTTAAATTTTATTTACCCCAGGGCTTTATTGAGTTGTCTGAAGATGACATGCTCGCCAAGTTTGCTGCAGTTCAACTGAAAAGACAAAAAGCAGCCGATCGATTAAAGAAGAAACGACAGCGGAAGAAAGATGCCCAGGAAACTGCTCGCAAGGCGATAGAATTAAAGATGAAGCGAAGGGAAGAACAACAAGGTACAACTCAATTTCCAACTAATTTAGATCATACTTACTTATCTGAAATGCGTTCAAATCCATAGAGAACAAACCAAATTTTGGTCTTTCATTGTAATCCAGTGTACAATGCACCATCTTGATTGCAAAATAAAAATTTATTTGTCACTAACTATCCAATAATGACATCACTTTTGTGCCCAGCGAATTAAAGTGCCCAGCGAATTATTTAATATTTCTGTCGTGCTTTATTTACAGAGTTGGCACGTAAAGTAACCGAAATGAAGGCAAAGAAGAGGGAGCAGAAACAACGACAGATAGATGAACAGAGACGGCAGAGACACGAGAGAGGTAGGATCATTTCTAAAGAATGATATCTTGTTATGTCGTGCAACTTCTATGGGAAGAATGGGAACAAAGTGATATGTATGGGATCACTTCTAAAACATGGGGACAAGTTGATAGGTTGACTTCTAAATAAATTATGGGGACATCAGTATTGCTGACTACAAGGAATGGGGTGTTAAAATGGTACAGATACCACAGTGGCTAAACATTGTTTTTATATACATTGGCTTGATCTATCAGCTGTTGCAGAGAGACAACAAAAAGAGCAAATGAAACAATTGAAGATACAAGAAAAGCTGAAGAGGCAAGAGGCACTAAGGTTGGAGAGAGAAATGAGAGCTCATCAACTTTTAGAGGTATGTGACTTTTATTAACAAGAGCATTTGTAACTAACATATCAGAACTTAGTTTTACTTTTGATTCCCATGAAGAGCATTGCCTTGTAGAGAGTGCAAATATTTTTACCATTTTCAAAATCCGATTTAGTTTTGGTAAGAATTCAGTAACCTTGACCTATTACTTATAGTTAGTATTGTATAATTTTTTCATAAGCTTCCCCCATATTAATCCAGTGGATAATGCTAGAAATGTTTTAAAATGTGTGCTTTATATGTAGAGGCTTGTAGTTAATATGACAATGTATCAAGAATGTATAATATACAAACATGTAATGTGCTTTAAGTAGTGTGTAGAATATGGCCCTAGATCAGTCATTGCAACACTTCATCCCATCATTTGCTGATGTAGAATTTATTAAATCACATAAAACTTTGGCCCATCGAGTTCATTTTGCAATATGCAAGAGCAGTAATATTTACAAGGCGAGAACAAACTTCAGATGATAAAATATACTCATTTTATCCTCATTTTTGCATTGATTACACAAGTGTAACTTAATGTATTTTAGATTCAGTCCCATCACTTATGGTACTCCCCTCGTATTAGACAAAATTATTACACAAATGAGTTAAGTTGAAAATTAAAAGCTTTTCACTTTTACATGAATTTGGGGCTACCAAATGTTTAATCTTAAAAAACATTTTAGCCACGGTGTTGGGTTCTGTTTTAACATTGCTTTTTATATTGTACTTACATAGTCAACTAACAACTTAAATCTTTAAGGTTTTGTAGTTGGGGATATAAAAACAATGAGTAACATTTGCTTAATCGTTTATTATGATCATCTTTGAAGCTGAATTTTATGTACTGGTACATTCTTTGGTGTATGTCATCTCGAACACGGGCATCCATCCGTTACAATCATCTGACAGTGGAAAAGGATAATTCTCAACTGAACCAAATGAAACATAATACAAGGGATTTTTGACTTTTGTTACAAGGGGGGGGGTCAGTGTTTGAATTTGTTAAACATACAGGCTTTTTGTATAGATTCAACTTCAAACCAAGGTGTATTGTAGGATGAAAATACCTCTTTTGTTTGCTTAATAGAGATCAACTTCTCTGAGACATTTCTCTAAACAGAGTGTAACCAATTGGATGGATGCGTTGTATTGTCCATTATAATCGTCCCCATTTTTTGTGCTGGAATTTTGCTTTGGATTTATTTGGTTGTATTTTTCTTTGCTCTGTCCTCCTGCTTACGCTGCATGCTGCATGTGTAGAAGCGACGTCTCAAGAAAGAGTTGATAGAGAGAGCAAAAGAAGAGGATATGATGAAAAAAATGAAGGTGGGTATTTGTATTGTATTGCTGTACAGCCTGGCGATAGTGTTATTTATTCAATGTTGGAACCCTCGGGGAGGGGGGATAGTATAGGACACTGAAACATCAGTACATGAACAACATTTTTTCTATCACAATTTCTCTTGAATATATCATCAACATTAAAACTCCTTTCCAATCCAGTAGTCAGTCTGGTGCACAGATTCAGGAAAATATGGCCAAATACTTTATCGTTCCATGTAAATGCAAATAGAGGTGTCACCTGCTGAAGGGGCATTTTTAAGACTGTGAGACACTTCTACAATTCTATATAACAACAAAGTAGTTCTTTATTTAACTGATATTAATCTATGCACCATGTATATTTCACATGTACAAACTGTAACCTCTCATCTTATATTTTAAACCACTGTAGTTGCTTTGTAGAAAAAGGCTATGGAATAATACAACATTTTTGTAATTGTAGTGCTTATCATTTCTTCGACGTTATATGTGTTATACATTATGTTTACTTGTGCCAGCTATACACATTTGAACCACATATTATTCATCTGTGACACAAATGTGATATTAATGTGTTACATTGGACATTGATGTGTGACACATGTAATATTAAAGTGTAACATTTTTACTTACCTGTAACACACATAATATTAACACGAAACATACATGTGACACATGAAGTATTTATGTGTAACACATGATATTTACCTGGGACACATGTGACATTAAAGTGTAACGCATGATATTTACATGTGACACACATGATATTAAAGTGTAACACACGTAATATTTACCTGTGACTTGTGTATATGGCATGTTATGATCTGGTTTCAGGAGAGGGAAGTCAAGCGACAACAAGCAATGATGCTCAAAGAACAGGTATTACTATAATCAGTGTATGATTTTATTTTGCATTCGACTTGCTTAAAATATCACTTGTCATGCTTAATTGATGCAATTAGTGATTTTTATGTCACCACCAGAAGTGGTGACATATTGTTATGGTCTCCAACTTTTGTAGACAGTGTTCGGTACTTGGTGTTCCGTGTTTGCCACTTGGCATTTAACATTTGTAACAAAGGGCAGGTGGTGACATTTTGCATTTTAATGCCTTGTCTCTTTTTATACAATAAAAATGCTGATTAGAACAATATTTGGTTCCTCTCTATTTCATCAATTTTCTGCAATTAAGTTCATGACCTTGTGATATTTTGGCCACAGTTTAAAGAACTATTCTTGCATGTGTATGTAAAAGTTAAACATCCATGATTGATTGATTGATTGATTATAAGATTTTCAATGATGGTGTTTTTGAGTTATTGACTAGTGACTCAACTATTTGCCACTGGAACTTACAGTATAAATACTATCTTCTGGCTAAGTACTGCACCTTTGATGCTTTGAAGCATGCTCACATTTGATGTCTGAGCTTTCTGCAAGAGAATCCAAGCATATTTTTAATCTGCTGAAAATTCTAATGAGCTTTGTCATAACTCTTAACTTGATTGATGCGAGTTGACACAAAATAGAATAATTTAAATTCACGGGAACATTCATTGATCCAAGAAATTCAAGGGATAAAGAGTTAAATATGTTAGAAAACGAAAACTTCGCATGTTTGAAAATATTGTTATATGTGCCCATGTTATTTTCAAAATAAAGCATGAAAACATGGGTGTGTTTCCTTCTTTTACTGGAAAGCATCATTGTAGCATCCAGTGTAAGGTAAATTGGAAATGAAGGTAGTCTAATGTTTTGAGATACTACACCCCCAAAATGCAATCTGACCAAATGGACTGACTAGTCCGGTGGCAAATTTTGGTGTCGAAAGGTTTCGGTGCCGGAACGGTGTCGAAATGGTGCCGGAACAGCGCCGAATGTTTTCGATGCCAAACGGCGCCAAATTATATTGGCTGTGTAGGAGAACAAATATAGTTTGAATGTTTTTTCATAAAATATCATTCTTTTTTGAGTTGGCATTGACCCCTTACCAGATTTACCAAAACAGGAGTGAAAGGATACTTTCCTGAAAAAGTGGGGAAATACAAACATGTCTTTATAGTTTATTTTGAAAATAATGTGGGATAGTATAGCCATATGTCAGATTAAGAAAATAACTGGAAAACAAATCAACTTGAAGTAAGAAGGTCATGGGATGAAAGTGCTATTTAACTTGATTAAGATTCACCCAATGATAACAATTTTGTAAATGTGCCCTCCTTATATAAGACATGTGTGCTATAGCGTTGTTTTGTGATTTTCTTGCTGTATGCTGCTCAGGAACGCGAGCGGCGCAAGCACATGATGGTCATGGTAGGACTGGTAAGTTCTCGTATATATGGTAGTCTTCATTGCAGTTATAACAACATGTAGCACATGCAATATCATCATTTATCACACGCTAAATGAGAATTATGCCATCTGATTGGTCATATACTATATGTTGCATCAAAACCTCCCTTTAGCACCCTTGTACATGTAATAATATGAGATAAAAGAAATATGAGGGTCATGGGTTAATATAAGTCACTGATTTTCTGCAAGTTATATCTCCACTTGCCCTATTTAGGGGAATAGTTCAGAAATATTGAATAGTAAGTTTTTGTTCATGACTAATTAATTCACAAATGCTTGGACATGGGTAATTGAAATGGTTAAGAGCCTGATTAACTGTACCACCTGAACATATGGGTTTTTAACTTTTTATCACCAACGAATTATTTTTGTGAAGTTCAAATAAGATATTTTCCTGATAATTTTTCTGTACACAAAACAAGCAAGAAATATTTTATGTTCATGATGATAATTCATGTTAAAGACTGATGCTTAATAATTGAGGATATCGAGGTTCAGTATTATTCAATTGGCACCAATTATTGAGCTGATATCTTTAATAATGTGACCTGCATGAATCCTTTGTAGGGTTAACCCTTGCATGTCTGGCTGAATCCTCTCGCCAGTGTTCAATGTTTCCTCACATGGGCAGATTAGGAGGAGGTTAAGGGTTAAACTTTCTAAAGATGGACCAAAACAAATCTTAATACTATTACCAATTCTCAGATATGCCCTCCTCGTCCTTTATCTTAATCTATTATTAACTAATTGTCCTGATAATCCTTCATATCAGTTGGGGAATCACCTATTTTAACTATTTTCTTAATAACGTCCCTCGTCTGTTGGTGATTGGTCAATGAATAACATAGAAAAAACATTGAAAGTGAGGAATATCAATCGATACCAACTGGTTTTAAAATTGGTTCCAATAAACATGAAAAGGACCACTGGTCATTCTAGAGAGGAAAAAATTTCAACTGGTCATCTGTGAGAAGATACAATTGTCTGACTAAGCAAAAATTCAGTTAACTGTCAAACTAAGCTTGTTCATAGTTGGACTAAGCTTACTGTTCAATCGGCAGACAACTAAGCTTGCTCATCGTTGGACTAAGCTTACTGTTCAACTGGCAAACAACCAAGCTTGCTCATCGTTGGACTAAGCTTACTGTTCAACTGGCAAACAACCAAGCTTGCTCATCATCGGACTAAGCTTACTGTTCAACTGGCAAACAACCAAGTTTGCTCATCGTTGGACTTAGCTTACTGTTCAACTCACAGACAACCAAGCTTGCTCATCGTTGGACTAAGCTTACTGTTCAACTCGCAGACAACAAAGCTTGCTCATCGTTGGACTAAGCTTACTGTTCAACTGGCAGACAACTAAGCTTGCTCATCGTTGGACTAAGCTTACTGTTCAACTGGCAGACAACCAAGCTTGCTCATCGTTGGACTAAGCTTACTGTTCAACTGGCAGACAACTAAGCTTGCTCATAGTTGGACTAAGCTTACTGTTCAACTGGCAGACAACTAAGCTTGCTCATCGTTGGACTACACTTACTGTTCAGCTGGCAGACAACTAAGCTTGCTCATCGTTGGACTAAGCTTACTGTTCAACTGGCAGACAACTAAGCTTGCTCATCGTTGGACTAAGCTTACTGTTCAACTGGTAGACAACTAAGCTTGCTCATCGTTGGACTAAGCTTACTGTTCAACTGGCAGACAACTAAGCTTGCTCATCGTTGGTCCAAGCTTACTGTTCAACTGGCAGATAACTAAGCTTGCTCATCGTTGGACTAAGCTTACTGTTCAACTGGCAGACAACTAAGCTTGCTCATCGTTGGACTAAGCTTACTGTTCAACTGGCAGACAACTAAGCTTGCTCATCGTTGGACCAAGCTTACTGTTCAACTGGCAGACAACTAAGCTTGCTCATCGTTGGACTAAGCTTACTGTTCAACTGGCAGACAACTAAGCTTGCTCATCGTTGGACTAAGCTTACTGTTCAACTGGCAGACAACTAAGCTTGTTCATCGTAGGACTAAGCTTACTGTTCAACTGGCAGACAACTAAGCTTGCTCATCGTTGGACTACGCTTAGTGTTCAACTGGCAGACAACCAAGCTTGCTCATCATTGGACTAAGCTTACTGTTCAACTGGCAGACAACTAAGCTTGCTCATCATTGGACTAAGCTTACTGTTCAACTGGCAGACAACTAAGCTTGCTCATCGTTGGACTAAGCTTGCTGTTCAACTGGCAGACAACTAAGCTTGCTCATCGTTGGACTAAGCTTACTGTTCAACTGGCAGACAACTAAGATTGCTCAACTGTCAGACTTTATATTATCAAGTTTATACCTCAAATGGATAACCAGTAATTGATACTTTTGGTTTTCCTTGTTATTACTTGTTTTTTCTCAACACCAGTAAATTGTGCAGGCTTCAACCAGGGCTCCTTCCCTATAACATGGTAAAGCCTTATCTAATCTGCTTTAGCATTCTCTTATAATCATCACCATTTACATGTTTTTTAATTGATTTAAAGTTAAGTATTGGTTCAAGTATTGGTTTAACCATTGTTAGGCTTGTCTAGATGTTTTTTATGTCACCACCAGAAATGGTGACATATTGTTTTAGTCTTCAACTTTTTTATGGACAGTGTTTAGTGTTTGACACATGGTAATCGGCATTTGGTGTCTGTAACAAATGGCAGGTGGTGATATTTTGCATTTTAATGCCTTGTTAGTGCTTAATGTTATTATAAATACTCATGAGGTAGTGCAGATGTTGTTTGCTTCTGTTATATCAGTGATCCTCATAACATTAAAGCAATCGGCATGGAAAAATTAAATATGATGTCACACCCAGTTTTGAATACCCATGTAATATGGAGTATAATGATACTTGGAAGGATTTTAGTCAAAATTGATGTTCTCAATATTTGACGTTTCTACCAGTAGAATTGTATTTCATGTAATATCTTGATGAAAATATAACACACTCTAATCATTCATCTCAGGAATTTTGGGAGAACATGATGAATATCATTATATTACATGAAAAATGCTCTGCTCTTTGCTTAGAGCCAGCTTGGTTGTTCGAAGATCACCACTGTTCATCTGCTCAGCTTATTTGCTTACAGTCATTGTTGTGGCATCATCGTGTCTGTATGTATGGATGTCTTTTGATCAACTGATATGTGTCTATAAATTGTTACAGGAGCGGGAACGTAGAAGACAACATCTGTTGCTGGTGAAGGCTCTGGAGGCCAGGAAGAAACAAGAGGTTAGTGTGTTCATCTATATTGTACATAACATACTGTATTGAGAATTCTAAAGGGTAAAGGGTATCAGGCAAATGCTGGATCCTTTCAAATTGGAATATGATGAGAATAAGTCCAATTTTCAGGATGTGTCTCATTTTTCTAAAAAAAAAATGATTTGATTGGAAAATTTATAGTTTCTTATAACTTATCTTTTACTTATATGTTTATAAATCATTTTATTTAGCCTACAATTTACCTCATTGTATTTTGTATACTCCCATTCCTCATCATATGATTCTGTAATGTAATGTAAATAATTGCCAGTCCATTATTTGTCCAAAATATTCTCAGACTAATCATTTCTTAGCAAGTAAACATTCAAAAAATCTCTTTCTTTAATCTTTGTCTCTCTTGCAAAAACTACATTAATGTTGTATACTTCATTCATCTTGTAGGATCGTGAGAAGCAGAAGGAGGAGAAGCGTATGGAAAAGCAGATCTGTAGGGAGAAAAAGATGGAGCAGAGACGTATGGAGATCCAAATGGCACATGAAATGAAGAAACCAATCGATGATCTCCAGCTTAAAGATCTTAAGGTATCTTGTATAACTATTTAATACACATATTGTGGCATATAAAAGAGTTCATCGAGGAATCATACATGTAAATGCAGCATTTGAAAAACCTCGAAGCGAAACTCAGTTTGCATGGCCTAATCTGTTTTACATACAAAATATGAACAGATGGAATTTTCTGTGGATGTGGGATTGTCATTATGTAACGCACCTAATTGGTATAATTCATTCATTTAATCATCTTTTCCAAAACAGAATAACATGTGCTAAGGAACAGGATTCTCTGGTCGCATAGAAAATTAAAATCTAAAAATATTTAAGTTATCAGTCAAATTAATGAAAATGTAAGGACCCAGGCTTCATATGTTTCTTTTGATTTCAGCCATTGCCAAGTTTTGATCGTATCCCAGGAGTGAAGCTTGCTGGGAAGGCATTCTCCAATTGCCTCATGGTTGTTGAGTTCATGCACAATTTCTCTGCAGCCCTTGGATTATGTAAGTTCACACATTTGTTATTATCGATGTCACCACCACAAATTGTTATGGTCTCCAATTTTTGTGTGGATGGTGTTTGGTGTTCAGTGATTGGTGTTCGGCGTTCAGCGTCTGTAAGAAATAGTAGATGGTGACATTTTGAATGTTAATGCCTGGTACACTATGCATTGATAATCCATAGGGAGTGGTGTGGATTGCCAAATATACAAGTGGGTTGCAATATTTCAAAACATTAAAGTGATTTTTGTCCATAATACTGGTCAATGATACATGAGTGAGATAAGTTCATGATTTTGTATTAGTTATGTACTCATGTACAGCATCTTACCATAAGTAAATAATTCTTTCCATCCGCCGTGTCCTTTGACTTTCATTGTTCATTGCTTGTTTTGTAACATTCAATGAATAAGTTATACGGTATTCGACATAAACTAGAAAAAGGATGTAACAATAACAACATCACCATGCACTAAAATTTCAGCTGGACGCACCATTCCATCTCTCAACAGCCTCCAGCAAGGCTTGCTCGCTATCAATGATGATGATGTTGCGGAGGTTGTCTCCTTAGTAATGCATCTACTAGGTATAGCTATAGATGACCCAGGTGTTCCGAATCCGAAAGAGGTGAGGGATTTGAATGTAAAGTAAAGTAAAAAGTACCACTTGGGGCCCTGCTTTGATACATGTTTATCAGAATTTGTATGAGAGATGTAACCAATAAATAATATACTTTGACTTGCGTAACTATTTACTCGTAGATTATTATTTTCAAGTATGTATATTTATCATCACTATAAATCATAATCAACATAGCATTTTGAATTGAGATTATTTTCTTATTTCATAGGGAATGACAGCTCTTGGTCAGAAAATTGGTGATGTCATATTAGATGAAGAAAATCTATCTGAAATTCTACGCATTTTCATAAAATGTCGCCTGGGAAAACTGGCTCCTTTAGCCGAGTTGTTGAAGACAACACCCTTTCAGGCATTGAGCCCAACCAGCCAATCAGATATCTTAGGATTCCTATGTGATGAGTTGCTAAGCAACCAAAATGTTCAAGATGCTATTGAGAATTCTATCGAGGCTATGTCAACTATGAGGAAGGATAAATGGATTGTGGAAGGAAAGCTTAGAAAGTATGTCAGCTTTATACTTAATGATAATATAGTATCATTACATGACGAGGAATCAAACATTTCAAAGTATCACCTTGAATTATTAAATACTATATTTTATAATTAATATATTAAATGCTTTGTCTAAATTCAATTACCATAATACTTTCTTGCATCAAACTTTGGATGGAAATTGAAAGTCTGAAATCTCTCAAGCAATGTTTATATCAATTGAAATAAAGATTATCTAGAATCCTCTAAATCTCTGATAGAAGCTTTGACCTGTATTATCATTTTCTGCAGATTGAAAACTGTGCAAGGTAGGCGGTTCAACAAGCCAGAGAACAAGGTCAGCGAAAGCTCCATTAATGAAGACAGTTCTCATGTGGCGACACCTGGTGGGAGTAAACGTGGCAGCGATGATGAGGATGATCAGGAAAGTGGAAATGAGAGTGACATGGGAGGCAATGAGGGAGTCAACCAATCAGATGGAGAGGTATGTACGAGTATATATAAATAACAGGGAAGTTGCAATATATTTGAAATACATGTATTCAGGGTAATGTAAAATCTCTCCACCCTAAAAATAAGAGATTTAAGGATGCTTCCCCTCCCATTAGAAAGGCAAAATCTGGTGCGATTCTACGTAAATCCTGAATGTAAAATTGTAAATCTTATTTTGGGATTTTTTTCAGGAGGATAACACAGCGACAGCTGAAGATCTTGAGACAAAATTAGAGAAACTGAACAAGCAGCACAGTCAGTTTAGAACCAAAGTCTTCAATGCCAGTCATAGGTTACGGGGTTTAACATTTGGACAGGATCGTTTTAAGCGCCATTATTGGGTATTGCCTCATTGTGGTGGTATATTTGTCGAGGGGGCAGAATCTGCAGAAGTGGGAAGTGATACTGATGAATCCAATAATGAATCTGTGAAAACAGACAATATTGTAAAATCGGAAATTAACAAGGAAATAGGTAATTCCATTAAACAGGAACCTGGGAATGATGTGAAAATAGACACAGCTATAAAGAAAGAGGTTGATAGTATAAAGGAAGAGAACCAGCCGATTATTCCAGCAAATTCAGACAATTTATTTAATCATTCGAGTAACTTGGCTAAACTACAGCATATGGTGAATGGTGATATTCCACACTTAAGTCCAAAAATGGAAAAGATTAAAGAAAATGGACCATTAAATCTGGACAAAGCAGCAATTGACAAATCTCAGAACAATACAAATTCACATGCAGTGAATGGTTTCCCTGTAACTGAGAGTATATGTAAGGATGAGCAGTCGCCTTATCATATATCCAAAACAGATAAAGATCAGAGAAATCAGAAACTTTGCTCACTCAATAAATCCAAAGAAAATGATAGTGACAGTAAGGAAATCCAGGGTGAAAATGGAAGTTCACAAAATGGCACTCCGCAGAAGTCTGAATCAAACTTTATGAACATTGATTCACTGATCCAGAAAGATTCTCAACAAAACATTTTTGGCAGCAGTTTTATGTCCCCCGATCTCAAAGCTGACCAAACGACAGCTGGACAAATGTTGAAAAATCTAGCCACAAGTCAGTCAAATCAAAGCTCATGGTTTAGTATTTTACCCAGAATGCCCTGTGATGATAAATCCATAACAACAGGGTCTCTTGGTGTGAATAATACATCGACACCAAAAGACACCCCTGCAGATAAAACTGTAAAATCTGAACCTCTCATATCTCCATATTTACCTCCCACCCCATACAGTGCGTATCTCCCAAGTCCATCATTTGCTTCAATGCATATGGCGCAATACAACTCAAATAGCAACTTCAGTATGGGAGAGAACAGTAATAACTCATCTTTCCCGTGTATGCCACTTGATCTCAGCATGCCATCCATTTCTGCCCCAGAGACCCCTGATAAAAACAATGTCAATAAAGAGACCCCTGAGAAGCAACAACAGCACAATGCTTCTAGTTTCTTAGATCAATCAGGTCTACAAGAGGAAAAGGCTAGACAGTCAGAAGATATGACATCTATCAGTGTACTACAACATGAAAAGCCACAGACTATTCCAATAGGTAGGGAACATCTTTAAATAAAACATTCTGAGACATACAATATTAATGTAGGCCTTTACTAGAAAGCCCATAGGAATATGTGATATCCATTGTGCCTGAATCTCTTTATTTCTACAGGAATAGAGCTGATTGTGAATACCTTAAAATTGCAAGAATCTCTAATGTGAATTTTTTAGTTTATTTAAGACATAAGTTCACTCAAGAATTGTTTTAAAATGGAAGTGTTTGACATTCATGTGTATATACCGGACTATTGAGGTATCAGTCAATCCAAATGCAACGTTTGAATGAGGTGTATAACGGATATTATTATTCCAGAACACCAGCATGGATGGTGGCGTATAGCAGACCCCAATCAGCTAAAGGCTGTTCAAAGGTGCATACATCCACGTGGAATACGAGAGAAAATTCTGCAGAAAAATATCCAGAAGTACCAAGAGTATGCATATAGTTCCTGTATTACTGCCTCCTCAGAAGGTATGTTGAAATAATCTATTTTGCTTTGATTATGTGTTCAATATTTAAAAATATTGGGGTTTTCTAACCAAGGATTTCAAGTCTGTTCTCAAGAGTCACACATGTTCAATGTCTGTGTTCGTACTATGACAAAAATGGAAAACTTGCATGTTATTTATATATTTACATAATAATATTTATAATCTTAATGTAACAATTACTTCTCATCATCATACTTCATTTATTTTTTATTTTATTTATTTTTTTATTTATATTTGTAAAATAATTTGTGTCATGCTTTTTGTAGCCAGTTAGTCATTTTGCAGTCAGATTTGAAGATCAAAAATGTATGATATACATGTATATTGAAGGGCATGGCTTCTCATTTCATATTATTTTAACTTTATCAATACTCTTTTTAGTAACTGATCTTAAGATAACAGATATGGACCGTGAAATATCCCAGAGTGCAACACGTGCCCCTATGCCAGACGGGAAGGATGCAATACATCAGGACATAAAGTTTGACGCAGAGAAATCAGTATTTGAAGATATAGAAGATCTTGAAGAAAGAATTTTTACTGCCAGCCTACAAGTAAAAGTAAGTAAAGCAGTGTAATTGAGTATCACCCATCTGTGTACTTCAAGAAATTAGGAGGGTATTGGAATAATCATCTCTGAGTGAAAAATCTGTTGAATATTTCTTTTGAGGAGATTGTTAATTAAGAAATATAAACCGAAAAGCAAGGGTAATATTGTCGAATACACCCCGCAGGCCTAGGCACAAACGTTTTTTGTTCGAAAGCTTTTGTGCCTAGCCCTAAGGGGTGTATTCGACGATATTACCCCTACTCTGAGGTCTATATTATGATTCGAACATGAAAACTCACCAAAATGTTCCGATGGTCCGCCATTACTACAACCCACCGTTATGACGTCACACATTACACGTATTACCAGGGGTATTGATCGTGAATATACCCCGGGTGAAATGTTGACTGTTTACAGTTTATAGAAGGCGTGAATACAGTCATGTTCGAATTTCGAATCATACCTTCAGAAAAATATTTTCAGTGTTTATATATTCCCTTGGAATGATCCATCTACTGCTAATTGAAATGTTTTGCAATTCATGTGGATGTTTTTTCAGGGTTGGAAACTACCTCCAAGGGTCACAGATGAGGAGAAGCTGATACTGGTGCCAAGTGAGAAAGCTCTCAATAGTGAGATTGAACAACACCCACTTGATCATGGCAGGGAGCGCCTCTTGGGCCTGGAAGAGAACATAGAACGAAGATACCTCAAGCCACCATTTACTAAAGCGTATGTATCCTATTAATTTTAAAATATGTGCCTAATAGGATTTCTTCAGGTTACTCTAAGTGGGAATTATACTTCAGAAAAAACATTTTGCCTGTTTCTATACAATTAGAGTATCACTAACATTTACAGTACAATTGATCTCACCTACATTTACCTTGTGTTACAGTACAACAATTGATCTCTTCTACTTTTACCCTCTTTTACATTAGAACAATTGACCTCATCTGCATTTGCCTTGTTTTGCAGTACAACAATTGACCTCATCTACATTTTACATTTACCTTGTTTTGCAGTACAACAATTGACCTCATCTACATTTTACATTTACCGTGTTTTACAGTACAACAATTGACCTCATCTACATTTTACATTTACCTTGCTTTACAGTACAACAATTGACCTTATCTACATTTTACATTTACCTTGTTTTACAGTACAACAATTGACCTCATCTACATTTTACATTTACCTTGCTTTACAGTACAACAATTGAGCTCATCTACATTTTATATTTACCTTGTTTTACAGTATAACAATTGACCTCAGCTACATTTTACATTTACCTTGTTTTACAGAACAACAATTGACCTCATCTACATTTTACATTTACCTTGTTTTACAGAACAACAATTGACCTCATCTACATTTTACATTTACCTTGTTTTACAGTACAACAATTGACCTCATCTACATTTTACATTTACCTTGCTTTACAGTACAACAATTGACCTCATCTACATTTTATATTTACCTTGTTTTACAGTACAACAATTGACCTCACAAACATGCAGACAAATCACAGAGCGGAGAAACGGTTAGAAAAGGAACGTGAACGTGAAGAGAATCATGAAAATACTGAAAGCAATGATGGCAACCCTGAACAAAACAGTGCAAAACTCAAAGACATTCCAAATGCTCTGATTGGTTGGCGGAATTCTGTTGCCAAGGCTATGAATCCTTCCCAGTTATACATATGTTTCCAGCAACTAAATAAGTCAATAGCATGGGAGAAGTCCATTATGAAAGTGGTAAGTACATGTTATTCTATGTAGCTATGGCCCTGCATTGGACATCTTGTACAGTTAGTTTCCATACCATTTTAACACTTAATCTTTTACACAGTGCACTAACAGAACTTTCAGCAATATCAGTATTACCAATAGATATATTACCGATTAAAGGAATCAATATTTTCTGAAATTCTTTGTTTTTTAGTTATGCCAGATCTGCTTACGTGACAACAATGAGGCAGAGCTGCTGCTGTGTGACAACTGTGATAAAGGTTACCATACCTACTGTTTTAAGGTATGCACTGTTATGTAGTCTTGCTGCTAATCTCCCCTGTTGCCTGTTTCTGTACATAGAGTTTTTAAAAGAAGAGTGTGTGTATTTATGAACAAAGTCATGTCCAGTGTGACAAAAAATGAAAATTACATTTTAGTATCTTTGAAAATAACTAACTTTTCAACCTCTATCATAGAGACATCAAGAGTAGTGAATTTAGTAATTAGAAAATCAAATGCAAAAGTTAATTTAACAAGTTTGAAGTCTTACATGGAATAACTTAAAATTATGCTGGAATCCAGTTATGGATTGAATGATCTTAAGAAGATGTAAGAAGATGTGTTCAATGTGTTCAAAGTTATGGTGTACTTATAACAACATAGAGGTTGAGAGATATTACATTTACTATCTAAGATACATGTAGGCTCTCTATAAAATCACTTAGTTGCACACTATACACAGAAAAACTCAATAATATTCTATCAGGATTCAGAATCACACTACCCTACCACGTGACCACATTTTAAAATGATACAGGGTACGGTTAAGTTGCAAATGGAGCGGGAATTCTCTATCTTTGTCCATTGGGCTTTTCTGGTAATAATACGTTGCAAACTGCTCGATGAATCTATACAATGTATAGTAGAACACTTAGAATATGTGTAAAATCTAGTATACATTCAGAACTATGGAAATAAACAAACGTCCTCCATTTGCAACTTCCCTGTAGCCTGTACTTCTTTTAAAGGAATACAGGATACAGTATGGGGGTATAGTAGTGTGAGAATGGGGATAGTTTTCCAAAATTAGCAGGTTGCATTTCTTTGTCACCATATACATTTTATGTCAACAGTATAGCTCAACTCATGGATTCATGACAATTTCTTAAAAAAAACATCTGTTGTTGAAGAGAAATTGCTGTGAAATCGAAAAAGTAAAAGACCGATATAATTTGGTTCCGATTTGAATTTAAATCAAATTGAATTATAAGTTGCGAATTTTTTACATAAGTAAATGAATATGTATCATATATATGTACAAGTATCATGTATTTCTACCTTGGACTTCATTTCCAGTTTCAGTTCAAAATTAAAAATAAATTTCCGTAAATTATTCCTCGCCTGTCTCATGGCTGACTTCGCCCATGATTAACCGTATATCTGAATTTGTTATTTCAGCCTAAGATGTCCAGCATCCCTGACGGGGACTGGTACTGCTTTGAATGTATAACAACAGCCTCTGGTAGACCCCATTGTGTAGTTTGTGGAAAGACAGCTGGCCGCATGGCTGATTGTGATAACTGTCCACGTGCATTCCATATAGACTGCCTTGTTCCACCCCTTCCCAGGGTCCCCAGGAAGTGGTCCTGTGCTACGTGCGTCTCTGATAAGGTATGTCAGGGCCCATGCATTTTCAGAATTTATTCAAGGTTCCTTTTTGGAACAATTGTAATTTACAATTCTTAAGAAGAACATTGTGTACTTATAAAAAAACATTGCCTACTCTCAAAGCAGACTTGCGACCAAATTGTAAATTATGAGAGTTTCAATAATGACCCCATAATAACAAATTCAAGTAAATGTGCAGTCATTCATTCTGGTATACATTGCCATTGAGTTGATAAGTGTCCATTATTTGATTATACAGTGTAAACCTAGTGGGCGTCGTGGTCGCAAGCCTAAGGCACTGAAAGATCTAGAACGTTCCACAGATGACACAACAGATGATGCTGACAAATGCTCCACACCATCTAGTGCAACAAGTAGCAAACAAAATGGAACTGATGACTTCACCAACTGCAGGTAACCTTTTGATTTTTTCATCACCATTTATGAAAAGAAATCAAACACTTTGTCATTTCTACTCAAAAGAAGTACAGAATAAATCGTTAGACCTTTTCATTTTTATGCATATTTTGCATTGTTAATGCCTTTTTGATAGAAGCGATTGATTATTGAAAATACAGTATTTACTTTTTTTGTTCCAAAACTATATAGTCCTACAACTTGAGTTCAAAGGTGTTTGTTGTAAGTCTCAAACTTGATTTTAAAAAATACACATATACCAAATGTCCTATGAAATATTCCAGGCTTATCCTATCTGAACTCGAAAGGCATGATGAAGCATGGCCATTCCTGCTCCCAGTGAACTTCAAGCAGTTTCCACAATATAAGAAGGTGATCAAACAGCCAATGGATTTCCAAACTATAAGGAATAAACTCAGGGACTCACAGTAAGTGATTTTTGTACATTGAATGTTTTGGTTTGGTCAAATTTTGTATTTGAGCACCTTGTCTCAGCTCTTTATAACATCTTCATGTGAACACTTAGAGCTCAGCAGTGTTCACTTTTGACATGCGAGTTTCAATGTGTATTCATTGTAAAATTATTAATTATTTTCTTATTATTTTCAATTATTATCCAATTACTCAGATGCGAGTAGGTAGTTACCAGTTTCGCCACCAGGTGGCTGATTCGGTGGAATTAACATGGCAGGGTATTACAAAATTCCCTTTAACTTGAATATGGATCAGTTTTAGGGGTTCACTTTTCATATTACCTTTATGTATCTGATAGTTATACAAATTAAAATATGTCCAGTAAAAGAAAATATTATCTACCCAACACAAGAAAAGATATTTCACTTTTTGTGGTTTTACAACATGGGGTCTATGGGGAATCTCCCCAACCTAGAAGTCACATTTTCAAAGAATATAAATTTTCAAAGTTGATAAACTCTTTTCAAAACCACATTTCTAAATGTAATTTTACATGTAGATTCCAAATATGACATCAGTTTGACTTGAATTTTTAATGACGTAAATCAAGATTATTTCTACTCACATCTGGGATATTATGTCAGTAAGAGACTATACAACTCACCTCTTATGGGATGTAGATATCACATAAAAATGTATGTACCTGTTCATACACAACAGGTTGGCACAAACCCTGAGGCCATCTATCTTTTAGGGCTTGTTCTCTCATCTGAAGTTTTTTTCCATTAGATCTTTTAAAATTGATACAAACTTATGGCCAACTCTGTACATGCATGATGTTCATGACCTATACTATATTGCAAGAATTGACTTCCAGGTATGACAGTGTTGAGGAATTTCATGATGACGTCTATCTAGTATTTGACAACTGTAAGACTTTCAACGAAGATGACTCCGAAGTGGGAGACGCTGGTCACATTATGAGAAGATATTTTACAAAACGTTGGAAGGACATCACTGAAGACAGCGATTAATACAATATTGGCCAGCAGTTCACATTATATGGATTCAACAAGAGAATATGTAACAAAACAAATTTTTAATGTAAAGTAATATTGGGTTGTCTCTAGAAAGCCCAAGGTAACATTTACGAGTATTGTGCCTGTGGAGTTCATTCTTTGGACAGAATTTGTATTTCCATAAACAATTTTTCGCATCGGGTAATGATGCCCTCAAAAAGCAGGGCTATTTAGGATAAACTGAGGACTGAAGAAAGGTATTTATATTATGGAGGATCCATGTTTAAAGTTATTTATGAATGGTGATCTTGTTGATCATCATACAGTAGACAGTGATATGCTCTCTACCTGTTATTTATGCTAACCTTTGCCAAATTCTTAGATTTTCATTCAACCACACATGGGGATGGAAGCCCCACTATCTCTTGTATTTTATATTTTTATTTTCCGGGAGTTTTCATGATAATTAATTCTAAAATATGTGAGAAATGTACTCGTTTATCCAATGAAAGTATTTTTACCTGTCGTGTACAACTTATTGATGCAAAAAGTACAATATTTTATCTTGCTCAAATGAATTTTGTTTAATACTGAGTCGTGTATACAATGTATGTCAAATCATGAAATCATATGAGTTACCTAACATAGAAATGAAGGTAAAGAAAATAGGTGTTCACACATTTTGATCTCATTTGTCACGTTGCGCAATGCAATGACAATATGTTACATAGATCAAGAAAAAACGATTTAATCAATGCCTCAGCATTACATATTGTTGTACGTTTGCTGATAGATTTTCAGTTGAATTTTTAAACTCTTATTCATGTTTTAGAATTTTTGTGTATAGGAATCAATGATGGTCAGTTGGACATAATTTGACTTGAATCATTTGATATGATCTTTATATTATACTTTATATATATATATATTTATATGTCATTAACAAAGTAGCTCAGATAAAGCTTGTTGAAATGTACATTAGATAGATTTTAATTTATTGTTATTTAACTGTATACAGTGTTTTGAAAGCCAATTGGATTGGAGGAGTTGATTGTTGAAATCATCTCAAAAAGAGATATACAGTATAGCTGTTTAGAAAACTTTTAAACTAACTTTAGTATTAGGTAAAGTCTGTAATTGCACTGTAGTTTTACTCAGTATTTCCAGTCAGTTTGACAAAGATTAACATTTCCTGTAGTCTCCACAGTTGCTTCTTATGTGTTTATATGAAGTCAATGATTGCATAATGAAGTCTATTCTACAGCCCTTAGATTTTACAACTAGTTGGGTTATCCATCCAATTTAAAGGAATAAGAAATTAGAAATTAATTTGAATGTTATCTAGAGGCTGTCAGTGTCTAGGTGTACTCCCCATTTTATTTAACAAATTTTTATTGGGTAAAAATAACTATTCACATTCGTTAGATTATACTTTTCACTAATTCTCTGAGATAATTCGTCGCATGAGAATAACTTTGTACTATCTCACATTTTTACGGAACTGAGAAATCAAGGTTTGAAAGTTTAGAGGTCTGTATCTTACTTAGTATTGCTATGTGAAACTTGATTTTTTGTATGTCACCTGGTCTCACCCTAGAGATATCTTATATGAAATATCATACCTTGAAACAATTTACAAGATCCTTTTTTAAAACTATGGAAATGGAGTTGATACAATTTCCCGCCGGAATAACAGCTTATTTCTAATTTCAAATTGTCATATCTGATATCAACTGTTTCAACCAATCAACTCTCTAAGAATTGGTCATGTGACTTGCAAAACTTATAACAAAAATTATATATATAAAATTAAATATTAAAACAAAGTATGCCAATATGCATGTTATTGTATCTAGAATGAAAAATAATGTTTTGCTTTGTAAAAAGGTCTTCAAAAACCAAAGAATATTATTTAATAAAATAAAGAAAATTCAATTTATAAAACTTTAAAATCAATTTCTCAAATAAGTACAATTATTTCTTAATTTTGGAATCTCAGGACACCCTTCAAAAAGAATTTATTGCCTTTGAAACTAAGGCAGAAGTACAATGCATTGAAACCAATGATGCCAATACGGTCCCCCACATATTTCCCTCGGTATAAACCCTGTAGCCTAAACCTCCCAGCACATTACAATGTAGCCCCTAAGGGCCGGTCCGCTGGTCATTATCAGGTTATTTTTGATACAGACCAGTTGATTTTTTCACTGGGTATAGGAGAATAACATTGCAACTGGTCCGTAATTCCATTTTGACCAGCAGGTTTCAGATCCTTAGGGCCTAAGACATAACCAATTTTTATTACATGCACATGGAAGAAATTTGAAAATAGAAAAATAAATTCTAATTCATTTTAGATTAATGAAAGTGATGAAACCTCGATTTAGGTAATCACATTTTGTTCATTGGGATGCAGCTATCATTATCCATTCATTTTCTGTTGTTTGCTACTACTCTGTGGAGTACAATTGGGAATTGAAGCAATTGTAGAAGTGGAGACTAAGAGTGGCTCTTTGTAAAGAAATTGAACCAATTTGTTACTTTTCCAAAATAAAATGTAGATGATCTAAAAACAATGATCCCAAAAATGAAAAAAGAAAGGACAAATCTGAAAAACATACTAGTAATAAAATAACTAAAAAGATCCCAGATGTTCAGTGAAAAGCGCAAAGCAAATCATAGGTGAAGAGAAAATAAAATAAGTGTTTTAAGGGACTATACTAACATAAGGATAACTCCTTATTGATATAGTGTATGGTCAGTAAAAGTTAAAGCTAGTTTAAATAGATTTAGCTTTTTTCCACAAACTATAAAACATCATTTTGAAAGAGATTTCAATAGTATACAGACAGTGATTGCCTCTGAGCAATGTACAGTGTGTCTCAAAAAAAATGTTACACTTACAAAAAGTTCAATATCTTTCATGATTTTGACTTTATCCCTAAAATATACTTAGATACCAAAATACCAGCCTTTCCCGAATAAATCCACTCCATCAGATTTAAAATCCGTCCATGATTGGCTGCACAGGACAGATTTTATAGACGCATGTGAAATCTGATTTGCGCCAACTTCTCAGTGGTTGGACATGTGTTGATCAATTCTTTTTTGGTGTGAATGCTGTGGACAGTGATATCTTGATATGATCAATGATCCAGTTGTTTCTTTCCTGGATAGAAATGCAACATGTCATTGTCAAAGGTTCAATTTGGTTACATTTGCTGGCAACAGGATGGTACAAGGGCCTGTGGCAGATCGTTTGGTAGAACTCTTTGGAAATCAGAAAGTAGCATTGAATTACCCAATTGATTGGCACCCAGGGTCATCCCACTTTAGACCCTTGCTTTTCAAAGGGCCTCTGAAAGCGCTTTACAGCATCACAAACTAAATCCTCAGATTTGCTTTCACATTCAACATGTTGAGGGGACCACATGTTTATGTGGATAGACCAAATGATCATATGTAAGAAAAAGAGGAAAATTACAGAATGACTCGCAAAGGTCAAACTTCTGCTCAGAAGAAAGTTAAATGTTAAAGAAACTGTTCCTCTTTTGTCATATGGTCCATCCAATCACTTAGAACTTGGCGCAAGTCAGATTTTACTTTGGGACACTAAAAGCTGTCCTGTGGAACCAATCAAGGACAGATTTTGAATCTGATAGTGTCAAATTATTTGAGAAAGATTTGTCTGTTGGTATTCAAAGTAATTTAATGGGAAAAGTCAAAATTATGAAAGATATTGAACTTTTTGTAAGTGTAACATTTTTTTGAGACACTCTGTAGTGCAAAATATGACAGTTGCTATTTGTTTTGATTACTATATCTAGTATATAACCTATTATTATGTACTCTATTTGAAGAAACAAATAAGTAGTCTTTCATTTTCAACATTTAATGATGACAGCTTTCTATATGCATTTCTATTGCATTTGGCCATTCAAACCCCTATAAGACCTGGTAGCAAGGAAGATAAAGGGTACTTTTGACTGCTCACATGATCTAATTATCTGGTCATTTGTACTTTTCATCTTCCCTGGTAGCGAGGATTTAGGTTTTCGAGGAAATTAATAATTCTATTTCATATCATGTGGCCATGAATAATCCAATGAGCATCCATAATACAAAGAGTAATTGAGGGCATATAATTTGAATATGCATGGGATTACACATACTGTATCATTTTATTTTTTTGATCTACTTGTAATAGCTCTAAAACTAAAACATGAAAGGCCAGGCATGCCAACTGGCATGGTATTGTGTTACAAAACATTATTTCATTCTAGATACAATAACATGCATATTGGCATACTTCGTTTTAATACAAGATTGTTATAACTCCAAGTTTTGTAAGTCACATGACCAATTCTTAGACAGTTGATTGGTTGAAACAGTTGATATCAGATATGACAATTTGAAATTAGAAATAAGCTGTTTGTCTGGAGATGGTACAATTTCACACTGAATTCTAGCTTAATGAGAGGGAATTGAGATGGGGCATGTATCTGAGATGAAAGCCTGTGTTTCAAATAGTAAAATTCCATGTCTATCTCAATTTTTTTGAAAATGGCAGTTAGTACAAAGTTATTCTCACGCGACGAATTCTAGAGTTAGAATTCTTTGTATTTTGTTTGGTTTTGTAAGAAATTTAGTGCAATAAGTATATAATCAGCTGAAAATTATTCATTTGTCTTGCAAGGAAATATAATATTAGAACACAAATGAATTGTTCTGATGCTGTTCCACCATCAACAAATTATTTACAGCCTCATTGTGTTGGTAACCATGGCAACCATGCACGAATATAATGTCTCATTAAAAATCCAATGTTTGTCTCATCACTCAGTATTTCGTTAACAGCACTGGATATTGTATTTGATATTGAATAAACAGAAATGCATTCAATTATAGAATATTGTTTTTTGTTTCTTTCTTGCTCAATGTCAAAACTTAATTCGCAAGGGCCAAAAGAGAAATATCAATCAAAGGGCAGCAAAAAAAGTTGAAATACTGGAGAATGTAAAACTTCAAAAATTGTCATTTTCAAAATAACAATCATTGTTTGTCATACACATGATACAATGATTTCTACCTTTTTATCTTTATGCAATGTGAATTATTTAACAATCATTTTGAAGAAACTTCAATTCTTCATGAATTTGGAAATACAGTGTAAATGTATATTTAGCCTTCAGGAATCAAAGGTAATGGATTGTCATGTTTATTGAAAAGATTGTTTTCTACATTTCACACTCTGCTTTCAGTCTGTATTTGCGTCCAATGTTGACAAAAGAATTATTGTTCAACTCAATCTATACATTTACTAAGATGATATACCAGTACAGTAGTTGCTAACTCCTTTCCGAGGAATACATGCAAGATTTTTGTTCCAATGCTCTGCTATCGTTATCAACAATGAATGATATACATCGAATATATCCATATCATCCTATGCCATGCAACAGTAATGTGTAATGCTATACAAAAAATTGACTCCCATGTTGTATTACTTACTATAGCGTATGTACCCCTGTAGCACCCAGGTTTGCAAGATGAACCACCAGTCTCATGGGTTCTTTTTTAATTGATCCATCATAGTTACATCTTGAAAATGGTAAATTTTCTGGAGCAAGGGGATACCCTATACCTCCCGAAAAGTTGTTTTTCATTAGAATTGCTCATGCAAATTGAAAGTGCCTAAGTGACATGTTATGAAAAGAATTTCTAAAAGAAAGGGGACACCCCTCATTAATTTTCAGTTGTCGAATTGGCTCATATTCACATCACGGGCTTTCAAGAAATCCCATGTACATATCCATTGAAAATGTCTTAAATGTAAGTGTCATGTTTTTACACTGTAGTTTCAAATTATGAAATATGTGCCAGAAATGTTTAGAATTTTCAATTTGCCATTAAAAAATTTAAAAATCATCTGACAAGAACACGCCCGGTGATCGTGAATATGGGACGGAGGGGGGGAGCAGGCAATTTCTGCTAGGAAATTCAACAAATCTGGAAGATTTATTTTTTCAAGAAAAAGTTTACTATTGAATTGCTAAATGGATAGGCGCACGGTATGGTAGAATATGTTAGGTTTTCTGGGATTTTTTCTGAAACGATACGCATCTAAGGTATGAGATCTATTAAAAAAGGCGCAAGGCCATCAACAGGCACAAATCAACGTTTTTGCTATAAATCAAGCAACAATGGTCTGGACGACCTGTAATAAATACTTGTAAGGCCATAAGAAGTCGATCCTCTGTTTTGCGTCCCCTTGCTTGCACGATTTTGAGTAAATCAGAAAAAACAAACACATCCAAATAGCAATCACAAGGGTCTGAAAGTACCATCGCATTTCATTCAATCAGAATCAGATGAAATGGCGGATAAATTGATGTGCGTCAAAATTGACAGTGTTATAATTATTTGACATACATTGTGTATTTTCTTATTTTTTACCCTTGAAAAATAGCCATGTTTTTATATATTGTATAAAATGTATAAATATGTGTTTGTAATCACTGCAAATTGGGATGTCATCCTTTTTTATGCCCCTAAAATGTATATATTCCTCAGCAAACAAGTTTGTGTTTTTTCTTTAGTTTGTGTTTGTTTTCCTTGTACCCTTACATGATTTGGATTTTGCCAGGACGCAAAACAAAGAATCTACTTCTTATGGCCTAAGTGATGTTATCATAACTAAATTAATGTCATTGCTGAATTTATAAAATAAGTTTCCATATATGAAATAAAAAATAATCGAAAATAATGAATTTGGGACGGAGGGGGGGAGGGGATGGAGGGGGGGAGCAATATGTATATAAGACATGATTAGAGATGTTTCGCGACTTTAAGTCCTTTTACTCCAAATGTCCCCATTTTTCAGTCTCCAGGGGTATATCATCCAGTTTCTTACTAAGTTAATGAGTTCATTTTTCAAATACAAGAATTCGTGTGAAGTTGTTTCACTTTATAGAATTATTACTCCCCCCTCCGTCCCCTCCCCCCCCCCCCTCCGTCCCATTTTAATTATTTTCGATTATTTTTTATTTTACGTATGGAAACTTATTTTATAAATTCAGCAATGACATTAATTTAGTTATGATAACATCACTTACAAGTATTTATTACAGGTCGTGTAGTCCATTGTTGCTTGATTTATAGCAAAAACGTTGATTTGTGCCTGTTGATGGCCTTGCGCCTTTTTTAATAGATTTCATACCTTAGATGCGTATCGTTTCAGAAAAAATCCCAGAAAACCTAACATATTCTACCATACCGTGCGCCTATCCATTTAGCAATTCAATAGTAAACTTTTTCTTGAAAAAATAAATCTTCCAGATTTGTTGAATTTCCTAGCAGAAATTGCCTGCTCCCCCCTCCGTCCCATATTCACGATCACCGGGCGTGAGAACCCCTGTACCCCCAATTTGGCTCATTTCACTCGTGCATTCGCTCATACTCTTCACTGACACTATAACTTCACTTGCTCAGATACCACCAAATCCTGTTGTGAGCCCTGAGAGGTGAAACATATCTTATCATCTTTTTCTTAAAATTCCACTTAGCGGAATCAATTGGTGAATGATCTTGCGTTTTCATACTAAAGTTTGTTTTTGAGTTTTTTCTTATAGTTTTATATATTTAAAGTTATTTAAGAGACAGGGCCCTTTTTCTAAAGCCCTTTTTAGAAAAATAATTGAGATTACAGAGGATACCTGTTATTTCTGCTTTTTAACACAATTTTAATAGAAAATTCCAATTCCAAACTCCTTATCTCAATATAATTCACCACTGGGGAATGGGAATTGAGCAACCAAACTTGGCACAAAGTTAGATCCTAAGATAAACTCTAATCTTAGGGCTTTGATTTTTTGTGACATCTTATATTTGCCTAGCAACCACATAGCAACTGCCTAAAATAACATATTTTACAATATAAATCCACTTAACATATGCTAGGATGCTATACTACCATTACAAAAAAGTATTCTTATCTTAAAATACAACAATTTTACCATATTTACTGAAGTGACATCACCATGTTGCATAGCAACAACATGGCAACAGGTTACAATGCCCATTTTGACATTTGCAGACCATATATCTATTATATGTTCACTGCTTTTGGATCTCTTCCACATTATTTCTTAACATATAGCAAATGTATTGATGCAGTTATGTCTGACCATTTTCCCTAACAACGGCTTGAAATAAAGGTTAAATTTGCCTAGCAACGACCAAGCAACATCATAAAATAGCAATGTTTCTCATAAGAATTTCACTATATATCCACTATATGACTTAAAGAAAATCAATATATATGTCTTTTGTGATTTATAAAGCTTTATAGTTGCTCACTTAAAAATCTTTAGTCTCTTGTGTAAAGCATGATGGGACATTTCTTGTCTTACGTGTATCAAATTGCAATTCATGTTTCAGTTCTGATTCATCACATTGATACTTGATACATTTTCAGCATTGATACCCCTAAGATAATACTCTATTTTGGTGAATTGCTTCGATTTCCTTTACAGGTGCATAGTTCGATGCAGTAGAATGCGCCATGGCATTACCAGTTCCCTTTGCAGTCACATTTGGTGCAGTCACATTTAATTATGACTTTACATGCTATGGAAGCTTGGGCAATATTGTCCATCTGGGCACCCACAATCCTGATGGGCTCCTAAACCATCCCCATATGCTTGGTGAAGGAAAACCTGGATCCACTATATACCACTGCCCCCATGTGCTTCTTGTCAAAAGAACACCTGTAAGATCATTACATAAGTTCCATTGCTTGAAAACTGTCACCTTGCTCTGATGGTAAAATCCAGACATGGTATCAGTTCCAGTAAGGATGTGGAACATTGGCGGCACACATGATCTTTGTGGTCCTAGTGCTCAAGCAAATTCATAAATTGGAATGTAGTGTTAGTTTTGAAAATGCTACATATAGATCTCAATCTGTAGCTCAGAGGCACATGCTATTAGGCTATCACAACATTACTGTCCACTGATTGTCCACTGATCTTATCATAAATGTCCTGCAACCTTTTCCGACACCATGAGACACATCCAAAAACATATGTGTATCTGCCTCTCCCTGGGAGCAGGGACTATTATGGCATAATTAGCAGGATTACTGATGCACTCTCCTTCGATGGTTGAGACAAAGACTCTATCGTCTGCCATAATATGTCTTGTAACAATTGCTAGTAGTGCAAAGAACTCTATCTTGTTGTCATTGTTTCTGAGAAATCCTATCCTAACACCAAACTACCAAGCAATATTGGCAAGACTTTATTGAAAGATAGAGCTCTTTGCACAATTCCTAAATCCTTCAGCATCTCAAGTGGTAAAACTTGAAACTTTGAAATTAATGACTTGTATGTTTCAGCAAATCCCAGATAGGATTTTAAGCTTTTTACAAGTATAACCTTGACTTAACGATTTAATCAGTAGTGTCTTAATTTAAAATCTATATACTAGTATTTTGAACACATCCTGCTGGGATACATAAACTCCATATACTGGGTTCAGTAGAATATTACTATCCAAATGTGGAAAATTAACAATGGCATAGATACATATATGTTTTTGCATGTGTCTCATGGTGTCGGAAAAGGTTGCAGGACATTTATGATAAGATCAGTGGACAGTAATGTTATTGTGATAGCCTTAGCCTGTGCCTCTGAGCTACAGATTGAGGTCTATGTAGCATTTTCAAAATGCAAAACGTATCGCTACATTCCAGTTCATGAGATTGCTAGAGCACTAGGACCACAAAGATCATGTGCGTTGCCAATGTTCCATGCCCATACTGGAACTGATACCATGTGACGTCTGGATTTTACCATCAGAGCAAGGTGACAGTTTTCAAGCAATGGAACTTATGTAATGATCTAGCAGGTGTCCTTTTGACTCTAGTAGATCGCCCATCAACCGTAACAACAACAGAAGTTATGGGCACAATTGAGAGGTTCATTATCCTGGTTTACCAGCCTGCAAACAGTGAGACAAATCTCAATACCATGCGCAAGCACATGTTCACTCATGACAGATCGATCCCGATAGATTACCTCCAACAAGCGATGCAGCACTCTATAATGTCATGCTCCAAGGAGCACATGTATGGGGGCAATGGCATATAGTGGATCCAGTTCTTCCTTCAACAAACCTATGGGGATGGTTTAGGAGCACATCAGGATTGTGTGTACCCAGATGGACAATACTGTCGCCAGCATCCATAATTAAAGGGAACTGCAAATGGAACTGCAAATGCCATGGTGCATTCTACTGCACCAAAAACTATGCAATTGCAAAGGAAATTGTAGCAATTAACCCAAATAGAGTATTATCTTAGGGGTATTAATGCTGAAAATGTAACAAGGATAAATATGATGAATATATTGTGTTTACTTTATCTCAGAACTGAAACATGAATTGCAGGACTTTTGCAGTTTGATAAACATAAGACAAGAAATGTCCCATCATGCTTTACACAAGAGACTACAGGTTTTTGAGTGTGCAGCAACAAAGCTTTATCAATTAAAAGACATACATATTACACAGTGATCTCCCCAGCATTAAAGCAAGTGGACGCAGCACCCACCTGAGATTTTGAAAATAGGCTCGCACCCACCTGAAAATCCATTTGCACCCACTTGAAAATGAGAAAAGTCATGAAAAATTGGCATATTTTGACCAATTTTTATCTGAATTGTGATAATGAGAATTTTGCACCCACCTGAGAAAAAATCCTGGGGAGATCACTGTTACATAATAGTGGATATATACATGTAGTGAGATTTTTATGAGAAACATTGCTATTTTAAGCTGTTGCTAGGTCATTGCTAGGCAAATTTAAGCATTGTTTTAAGCCGTTGCTAGGAAGTTGTTAGGGAAAATGGTCAGGCATAACTGCATCATTTATGCTTAAATACAATTTCTGTATGTTAAGAAATAATGTGGAAGGGATCCAAAAGCATACAAGTGAGCATATAATAGGAACATGGTGTGCAAATGTCAAAATGGGCATTGTAACCTGTTGCCATGTTGTTGCTATGCAACATGGTGATGTCACTTCTGTAAATATGTTTGAATTATTGTATTTTAGGATAAGAAGACTTTTTGTAACGGTCTTATAGCATCCTAGCATATATTAAGTGGATTTATATTGTAAAATGTGCTATTTTAGATGGTTGCTATGTGGTTGCTAGGCAAATGTATGATTTCACAAAAGATCAAACCCCTCAGATTAGAGCTTATCTTAGGCTCCAACTTTGTGCCAAGTTTGGTTGCTCAACTTCCATTCTCCATTGGTGAATTAAAGTGAGATAAAGAGTTTGAAATTTGAATTTTCTGTTCACATTGTGTTAAAAAGCAGTAATAATGGGTATCCTCTGTAATCTCAAATATTTTTCTAAAAAGGGCTTTAGAAAAAGGGCCCTGTCTCTAAAATGTCTTGAAATACATGGAACAATAAGAAAAAATTCCAAAACGAACTTTAGTATGAAAACGCAAGGTCCCTATGGGGGCCTTGCACCAATTGATTCCACTAACTCAAAACAATATGGTCATAAACCAATTTAAATAGAAATTATGAATTCAAAAAATGGTACAATGCACACCTCCCTCCTCACGCAATTCTGGCTACGGGAAGCGAACTTCAACCCCATCTACGATTTCCAAGGTGGTTCTAACATTAAACTGAAACCTTTGAATCAAGATGCTCCACCCCTGCAGAAGGGTATCAAAACGATGACTCTGTCATATCTTGGAATAGAATAAAGATTTAGTGTTCCCAGGTCATAATAAGCATTTAAGGCTAGTGAGCAGTGGATCCATGGTTTTCAAGCAGCAACTTAATGGCTGAATGGTGCTGATTGAAGTTTGTGAAGTATATTTGGTTGTTATGTGTATATAATCAATAACGAAAGTGAAACTAAATTGGAAATCACATGGTGTAATTTAAGCCATGTGCTTTTGTTTACTAACATAAATCCGACATGTTGATTGGTTCACCGTTTAAAGGATGCCGGAAGTAAGCGAAAAGCGCCATCTGTAAGGCGCGAAAGTGTTTGATAACCACAAGTGTGCTTGTGCATGTGCTTTAATAATTTCAAGTTATTAGAGAATAATTTCACACAATCGTGCATCATATTTGGATTATTCTGGTACCGACTGTGCTCTACAAGCGTCAGGCGAACGGATTTCAATGCACGTTCGTGAGTAGTTGAGAGGAATTCACACTTTGCGGTTGCAACTTCATCTCAACTTCGAACATTTCAATTTCATGTCAGAATCGTCTGTAGGCTTTAGAAGCAGTGCAGAAATCAATCTCAGATCTGGATGCTACAAACCCAGTGACTGGCTAAATAATTCAAAATGTAAGTATGTCAGAAGATGTACACTTATTTTCACTTTGATTTCTTGTGGAAACTGGGATAACTCTAGTTCAACGTCGTTAAACTCAATAACGGCGTTCTTTATTATTAGGAATTTTTTGGGGCCGTTATCAATAACGGCGTTCTTTATTATTAGGAATTTTTTGGGGCCGTTATTGAGTTTAACCTCCTTACTATTCTTTCCTTTGATGCAAGTTCTGAATCCATCGAAACCATTTTTCCGCGATAACGTGCAACTGATACTTGACAATAATATAAAAACACATAACATCAAGCGATTTAACACAATATTTTTGTGTTAAATGTTCATTTATACGAGTAAAATGAGGCTACACTTACCAATCTCTAAAGTGACATTCCGCATGTCTGTCATTGTGTCTGTTCGTCTGAGTGTCCCGGATCGTAAAATTAAACTACCAGCGAAACGAAATTGTTGTCAAATAGATTGATAATTATTATCGCGATTACTCGGGATAAAAAGATCAATTTTGAGGATAACAGGTATCTTTGATTAATTTATATAGCGCGTGTATACACGCAAAACAGTTATTAATTGCAAACCCACTGTTCGTTAATGCAGTGCCGTGATGACGGTTAATTCCTGAAATGATTTGCAATTTCGATGTTACCGAAACTGACCGACATTTTCGTCATTTCCAAACCTGTCTCCAATATTTTTGTAATTATGCATCAATAGGGTCTAAGGGGGATACGGGACGGGGTGTATGTGTTTATAAGGTATGTATGCATGTTTGAATCACATTCTTTGTGTAATATTGCCATGTTTTCAGGGTTTAATTTGTTCCGCTTGTCGAAACCTGCTGAACGATTAAATTAACGCATCAAAGGCAAAATGGTCATGGAGGTTAGACCTAGCCAGGCCATAACACATGTCAGATAAGAAACGAGGCCCGGGCTAGGTCTAATGTTGTTGGACTAGGATAACTCATGCATAAGCTTAGTCTATTTCTTACCTCAATCAGAAATGTTTATGTTACTTCCCTTGTAGAGGAATATGGTGTCTCCCATAATTGAAAATAACGATTTATTACGGGGCTCGTTACGGGCACCGTACAGTCAAGTATTGGGATCGAAAATTACGGGCCTTGTAATTACAAGCCCTTACGAGGTTCGAAAATTACAAGCAATGACGAGACTCGTAATGAGTCCCGTACGAGGTTGTACAGCCAGGCCCCGTTGACTCTTCGAGCTCCTTATGGGCTTGTATGAGGTCCAATGTAATTTGCCTGCGTACTCGGAAATAATTCGGTAGCCAGTTTGTCTAGATTAAATATGCAACTCTATGATGTTTAATAGGTTTGCTGCTGTGAGTTCTCTACTTGGAATGGATCGGAGTGAGTCTCCTGCGAAGCCATTGAAAGATGAGGCTGTCCAACCTGCAGATGCAGCTTGCAATATAGGTATGAATATTAGGAGATTTTTGTCATGGTAATGTGACTACTGTGTATATTTTTTGTCAGGGTTAGTGTATAAGAAGGGGTTTCATTAAAATGACTGACAATTATTGGAAATTCGAAAATGACTGTATTCACGCCTTCTTTAAACTGTTAACAAAATCAACATTTCACCCGGTATATTCGCGAAGAATACCCCTGGTAATATGTGCAATGTGTGATGTCATAACCGTAACCTACGGCGGGTCGTAGTAATGACGGACCATAATGAATATTCGAAACATTTTGGTGAGTTTTCATGTTCGAATCGTAATATAGACCTCAGAGAAGGGGTAATATCGTCGAATACAACCCTTAGGGCTAGGCACAAAAGCTTTCGAACCTTCGGTTGCTCAAGGGACAGAAAACGTTTGTGTCTAGCCCTGCGGGGTGTATTCGACAATATTACCCCTGCTCCTCGGTGTATAGTTCTTAATCATAACTTTAACATTGAAGCAGTTATAAAGTTCCTCGAAACAAACATGTACGCACAAGCGCCAAAGGGAAAGGAATTGTTACAGTCTCCCACTTTTTGTGGATGGCATTCGGTGTTTGGAACATGGCGTCTGTAGCACAGTGTCTGTAACAAATTACGGCGTCTGTAACAAATGGCAAGTGGTGACATTTTGCATGTTAAATGCCTTGTATATGACATTGCTGAAGCAAAAAATAGCCCAATAATAATAGAATCCCAATTTTAAATAGAATGTCACCTATTTATGTCACTCTGTTTGAAATAGATTGGTATATTCTGGAAAAACATTTATTTTCTTTAATTAGAAGCAGCTTCAAGTGCGTGTCCTGGTACAAATCTCCCAGAATCCCCTATTCCGCTTAGAACAGAGGGCACACAACAGGATTCAGATAACAAATCAACTGAACTCAGTGACAATGAGGTAAGTGAACTAAATTGTATAATTTCCCTGAAATTGTGAAACACTACACATATTATTCACAGTTTCCATAGTGATAATGTGCACTGTATGAAAATATCGCAAAGGCCATGATTTAACACCTACTTGAGATCAAAACGACAGGATACTTTACTTGAGAATGAGTCCTATAATTACAACTTCTGTATAACAGTATTTTCACACTTTCATCATTTAAATAATTTGATTAATATCCTTATCAACTTATTCAAATTTATTTTCACAAAATTAATCATAAGATATGAAGGTTATCCATGATCTATCAAATTAAATATCAAATTGTGTTATAGAATGTTGGAAAGTCAAGTGATGAAGATATGGAGACTGCAGATGAGCTGTCTCCAGAGAAACCTCCCAAGAAACAACACCATATTACAAGCACTGAACAGGCCACATTTAACAATGGAACAACAGCTGCCCCAATTAATGATAAAAACCTTACTGATGTTATAACATCTGATGTTGTGAAGTCAAATGAAAACATTGATCCATTAGCTTCTAATACTGAAGACATTGATATGGTTGATACAGCAAAGGATATCGAGGTGCCAAATCCACTGCCAAATAGTCCTAAAGCTGCAAATCCTGGTAACACTGGGACTGAAGAGATGGAGCCTAGTAGTCATCCCGAGGCCGCCTTAGGGGTTGAGCTTGATCCAGGTTCAAGTTCCCCTAAGCCTACAACAGGAGCTGAAGCTGGTGATGGCCTTACTGATGCTATGATTAAAGAGGAGGAAAAGATGCACCAGAAAACTGTTGAAGAGGAAACAAAATTGAAGGAAGAACATAGCAAGGTAAAACATCTGTGTTTTCTATATCAGTAAAATAATTGTAGCTAAATAGTGGAGACACCACAGTAAATTATTGTACCAAAAATATGTCAGTTTGAACTATTCTATTGAAAGTTGGTCATTGAATGTATAATCAGATATTTCATCTGATGTTATAAAAACAGAAAAACTACATTTATTTCCAACATTTATTCATATAAGTTAGTTTTATTTACAAACGTGTACATGGGTTTCAGGCATTTGCCAATCTAGATGAGGAGACAAGAGACATGAAGTACCAGCAGCTACAATTCCTCCTGCAGAAGAGCAACATGTACACAGTGTACTTGTCAGAAAGGATGAAGAGGCAGCAGGCTGAGCAGGAGAAGAAGATGCAGAGATTGATGAAGAGGAGAGAGTTAAAGAAGAAGAAAGATGAAGAGAAGAGGCTGAAGGAGGAACAAGAACAGAAAGCCAAAGAGGTACGATGTTATATCTATCCCACACCTGACCATGAAGCAGTGTGAATGCGCGGAATAATCTAGCTATCTGTGTTTTGAAAGTTGTGAGGAATGAAGTTCCTTCATAGAAATATAATTTAGTTTTGATAGAGGGGTTTTCATAAAGTTAAAAAAAACATATAGTTATTACTGGATGAAACAGTCAGAATCCAGAATTTTTTAAGGTTTTAAACCTGTCATCTTTACTTTCTGTGGTAATTAAAGAAAATATTACAACATTCCAATCATCTACTGTCATTTCATTAAAATGCAATGATGGACTTTTACAGGAGGCTGAGAAAAGCAAATCAAATGAACCATCCCAACCAGGGGCAGTTTCTCCAGGCAAAGCTACAACTCCCTTGACTTCCCCAAGGTCTACACGATCTAGCAGGTCTCTGCAATCTCCAGGCAGCAGCAGTGTAGGATCCACTGGCAGTGTGGGTAGAAGGCTAACCAGGGGGAAAGATAAGACAGGACAAACGGACAGTCAAGAAAGCCAAGGTATGACAAAGTTAATCAAATGAAATTCAGTGAGATTGTTTAAGTTGTCTAATCTGAACACCACTGGGACTGGCCAATTGTTTAGCTAGACAGGTGTTCATATTTCAAGGTATTTTAACGTTGAACTTTAGATAATAAAGGAAGGGAAAGAAGTGTTCACATTGACAGCTGTTCAGATTCGAGAGGTGTTCAACCTACAGTTAAAAAATGAATTTTCATGGAGCTTATTTTGGGATTTATGAATTAAAGTTTTTACTGCTGAAGATGTTTCATTGAAAATATGAGAAACACAGTGTTGTGTGAGGTAATGAAAATAATTTGACCAAATCTAAAAAATAATCAAAGTGCAATATTATAAGGAATAATAATCATATATTAGATACTAGCCAAACAACAAGCAATCCAAAATATGGAAATCTTTTGCAACTAAAATATGAATGTATTATATCCACATTATATTGCAAGTAGGTATGGTGCTTTGATTGTTTTTGGTTTTTATGGTTTGATAGACAATTTTCACTGTCTTAGACTGTAATAAGGAAATTCATGAGAAGTAAAACTTATGAAATAAATTTCAGCCTCCACACCTGGTAGGAGAGGGAGGAAAAGGAAAGCTGAAAGTATAATAGAGAAAACTGAGGTAGGCAGCTTATTATACTTTATTTCATTTGTAATTATGTCACCACCACAAGTTGTGACATATTGTTATTGTCTCCAATTTTTTTTGGGATGGTGTTTGGTGGTTTGTGTTCAGCAGTTGGTGTTCGTTTGAATGAACCATTGATTTTGCTTGGGAACATATTCAAAGATTCCATTTTTTATCAATATACTGTATATTATTGATGAATTATTTATTCAGGAATAAAAAGTATTACTGTAGATTGGGTTAATTTGGTGCTACTTAATTTTGCCATTTTTGGCATATTGGCGGCTATTTAATTTGGTGGATATGCAAAAAAAATGTTAAACTTACATGTTTGGCTATGTATGATATTTCCCTGGGATTCATTCTAAATTTTGGCGAAGATTTATATTGGCGAATTTTTCAATTTCGCCAAATTAAAGCAGGCGTCAAATTAACCCAATCTCCAGTATTAAAGTTATTTTATCAGGTACAAGGAATCCAGGATTCCAAAAAGATTCAGTCATTTCTTTTAATTATCATCAATGATGAATATTAGTAGTACTCCCCACTTAATGTGATTGTCTTTATCTTCTTGTTTAATGTTTTATTCACTATTGAGAACTAGATTATCTTGTAGTGGTATATAATGTCAATGTCTGTGATTTATATTCTCTCTCCATCTCCATTGTGTTGGCTGATCATGGTCAAACATCTGAAATATTTTAATTTAAAGACATTCATTTTTATGTCACCACCACAAACCACAGATGGTGGCATCTTGTTATATCTCTAACTTTTTGTGGATGGTGTTTGGCATCTGTAACAAATGGCAGGTAGTGACATTTTGCATGTTAATGCCTTAATTTTGCTAAATTCACTTTTTACTTCAGGAAGAGTCCAAAATTATTTTTACAAAGATGATTTGATTTACTCAATGCATGCTTGATACATACACAAATTATCAGTCTTTTAACAATGAACAGAATAAAGTCACATCTTGTGCCATAGATCATAATATCGAGGTTTTTATTCCTTAAATAATTTTTACTTCAGATTTGTTGATGTATTACCTTTTTACAACACACAGCGGCACTGTCCATAGCACGTACAATAATACATAGGGCCATGTTGTTCTTGATCTGGGTTCTTGGTGAACTCGTTACAGTCTGTGAACCTGAACGCTCTTCTACCTTCACTTTGTATAGCTTTCAGAAATCTTTTCCTTCTACCCACACAGCCACATTCCTGGCATTCGCACCATCCCCTGCGAAGTTCGTTACAGTTTGTGAACCTCATCCAGTTTTCACCTTGATTCGACAGTTCTTCACGCTGTTGTGTAGTTGATGGTTTGCAGAAAGCAATAAGGCAAAAGACAAGGATAACCAATACTCTGTACTTCATCTATAAAAAAATCATATATGCAGTAAAACATCAGGCCTGTAGCCCCCCCCCCTTTCTTTCACCATTCTGACTATTTTTTGAGTGATTTTTGGCCATATTTGCCAAAGTGAACCCCCCCCCCCCCCTAGAAATTTTTGGAAAAGTGAACCCCCTTGGAAAATTCCGGCTACGTGCCTGAACATGCTTTGTGAAATCCCTCTATTAGTTAATGTCTTTCCATAGTTATAGAACACTATTTCTAGAGACTCAGTCCATTGATTTCTGCATTACAACTCTTCTCTGGCAATTTTTTTTGTGCTTTTAAAGGTGTTCATAATACACAGGTTTCAGTGATTATTGGTTTTTGTCTGCAAGCATCTTTGAGTGTACTCTCAGAAATATAGATGAATGTCAAGTCAAAAAATGTAAATTCAGACTACATTTTATGTACAAACAAAATAAGAGACTAAGACCACTATATTTTACCTGAAACCAGAAAAGAAAATTAATCAAAAGGAAGATTTAGGATCTACATGCAGAAAGTGAAACCTATTTGTTCATGTAGTATAGTTATCGATTGTTACATTTAAGAAACTTACCATGTCTTAATCCTTTGTAAATTCAGTTTACTTTTAAATATGTGTAAACAAAAACTATACTTATTTAGTTGAAACTTGTATATAGTTTAGTAGTGAAACTTATCAGTGTAAAGTTACCTTTGATCTTAGTATGCTGTGGTGTGTTTGTCGATTGAATAAACAAAAACATGTTTTGGGGTATTCTATAAACAATATGAGAGTGAAGAAATTATCTTTAAGTTTGATAAACCGTTTCGAGGTGATGAACCCTTTGAAGTTCAGTTGTCATTTGTTTGTAAATCAAAGTCTCATTTGTAATTAAATAATTATTTCATTTGTGATATGCACTTATAGCATTCTAATGAGCAATAACTAGCTTTTCAATTTTCATTTGTTTGTAAATCAAAATCTCATTTGTAATTAGATAATTATTTCATTAGTGATATGAACTAATAGTATTTCAATTAGCAATAACTAACATTTCATGATTAGAACTTCTTAAATCATATGCATTTTCTGAAGTGAATTACTATCATCCCTTTATATCCTTGTAATATATGAGCTTGATATCTAGTTACATACATAAAGGGTGTCCTGAAAATATGGGATCTCCCCTAGGCAGACATATACCAATGTCTGCATAGTATGTGTCATATATCATTTTAAAGCTTAAATCAAATCAATGTAACTTTGGATAAGCTTTAGAATGATATATGACACATACTATGGAAACAATGGTATATGTCTGCCCATACTTTCGGGACACCTGTATACATTGCATTCTTACATGTATTGTATTGTTATTGCACCTAAAATGTAATTAGAGATAGATGGCAGTTGTATGAATTTGAGTTAATTTTGAGATCACTCCCAAAGACATTTGTGAACTTCAAGATGGCTGTCTGAATCCAAGGAGTCATTGTTTGTCTAATATTTTAGCATGATAATTACAGATGCCACATTTTGGAAATACACCAGGTTTCAGAAAAACATATTTTGTTTGGTTTGATTTGCTACTCCATTGGGTTGCCTATCTATGTCACCACCAGAAGTGGTGACATATTATTAGGCTCGAACTTTTTGTGGCTGATATTGGTGGTGGTATATGTCTGTAACAGCATTTGGTGTAACAAATGGCATGGAGTGACATTTTGCATGTTAATATCTTATTGTTTTTCTGCATGTGTTATATAAGATGCAAGGTAGAGTTTATGTTTTAAAGTCAGTTTCTCTATGTATAGGAATCTAAGAAGGTGAAGGTAGATGAAAGTCAGACCAAAGACTCTATCCCAGAAGGGGAAGAAAAACTTAAAACAGAAGGTGCTAAAGAACAGGTAAAGCCTGCAACAGAGATCTCTGACACAGACAAACCCAAACCTGATGATACAAACCCAAATGCAAAGAAAACAAATGAAGATGAACTTAAGTCCAATGTGGTAGAAGCAGATGATTCTAAATCTGACAGTGACAAAGCAAAAGTTGAGAACAATGACAAATGGAATGAAGAAGTTGCTGATGAAGAAGAAGTTGATGATGATCTAGATGATGTGGAAATGTATCAGACAACTGCTGAGCTTGTGGTAAGGGAATTTACTAAATACTGTAGATTCAAAGTTTAAGTTCATGCAATAATGTATACGATTCATTTGCATGTATGAATTATTACAGTACTGTCATTGCATTGTTTTGTGGGATCAGTATGGTTTACATATTTATTCACTCAAAAAATGGCTATGAGCCACAGCTGACCATAAGATTCATTTAATACATGTACATACATTTTGTGTGCATGGTCAACTGTTCTTGTAATGGGGGTCAACTGTTGAATATGTGCTAACTTCTCATTCAATCGTTCTTGTATATGTGTTTCAGGCTGAGCTAGAAAAAGTGCCTGAGTTAGCATGTGAAGGCAAAGAGATCAAAGGAGAGAAAGTGTTGAAGGGGCAGCCACCTCTCTTCAATGGTGGATGTCTCAGGGAATACCAGATAGAAGGAATGAACTGGCTCCAGGTACTTTATACTCTCACATAAAAATACCATGTTTAACATTGAAAATTGAAAATAGTTTATTTTTACGCTATTTTAAGATTTGTTAAAGTTATTTATCTGTAGCCTCAATTATTGCAACACGGTCTTGCATTGTGATATGTGCTATTATACTGTATTTTAATGTCTGATTTTATTTGTCAAATTGAGATATAAAAATTGAAAACTATGTCGTTGTTTTACTAAATTTTAAACCGAATACAGCACTGAACATGTTTCTTTGTAATTCTAGACACTCTATGAGAATGGAGTGAATGGTATACTGGCTGATGAGATGGGCCTTGGCAAAACAATCCAGTGCATAGCAACAATAGCTAGTCTAACTGCTCGCAGAGTGGAGGGACCTTACCTGGTTGTTGCCCCATTGTCTACCCTACCTAACTGGCTTTCAGAGTGCAAGAGATTTGCACCTAAGGTATTGCATATATTTTAATCACATATATTTCAATCTTGTGCTGATGGGCATGTGTCTCCAGGTTTGTGCCACTTACATCTTGTTATTATTACAATGCCTCATAATTTACACCTAATTCTTTTTAATTTAAGACAAATATGGAAATTGTACAAATATTTCAGAAATGACATTGTCGAAAAGGAGTTGGGTAAACAAGGCCATTTTAAGCCCCACCTGATTTTCAAGTTTTCTCTTTATTTTATTAATCTATGTGATATATGTGTTTCAAAAATGTATGAAAATTTAGGTCAAGGTCATATTCCCCAGGTCAAGGTCAAATTAAAAAATTCATTATTTTCTACCAAAATATACCTTTTTGGTTAAAATATCACAAATATCTGTAGGAATTTAGTCTCATAGAGGTTGGAATTACAATATATAGTAAATTGGCAATTTGCCAATAATGAGATATTTATATTAATATATTCCGGCCTTTCCACGCAACACTGAAAGAGAACAAAAGTACCTAAAATAATGAAAATACTTTATTATTTTTAATTCATATTCCATCCCTCCCATTATATAATTCTATGTATTCAATAGCAATATCACCCAATTCAATATCGCCCAAATATAACCCAGATAATATCCTAATATCATAGCAACATCAATCAATTGTCAATCAAATGTCACTCTATATCAATCCAAAATAACCCAAGTATTGGCCTCATATTATCTAAGTAACAGTCCAATATCAACCCTCTTATTTACCAAATATCACCCAATTATTCTGATTGTAATAATATCCCACTGTAAATCCAATATCAGCCAAATATGAGCCAAATAATGAACCCAATATGATAGCGATATCACCCCAATATCAATCCAATGTCACCCAAATATTGGCCCAATGTGATAGCAATATCACCCAAATATCAAGCAAATATTGGCCCAATATCAATCCAATATCACCCAAATATTAGCCCAATACTATAGCAATATCACCCAAATATAAGCCCAATTCGATAGCAATTTCTGACAAATATCAATCCAATATTAACTTTATATCTGCCCAATTACCAACATATTGCCATTACATAAGCAATATCAAAAAATATAAGTTCTGATATCAACCAAATATCACAACAATCTCCTCCCAAATCAAGCTTATATTACCTCAATATCACTTCTATTATTAGTTGCAATAGTCTTGACTTGTGAAGCTAAATCTTCTGTAACCTGTCTCCGTTTTCTAGGAGAATTTACCTGCTTCCTACATATGCAGCATGAATAGCATTTGGCCATTTTGAATAATCAACAAAAATGGCAGGCAAAATTTTCTATAAAGTTCTAAAATTCACATCGAGCATAATAAGTCTCCATCAAAATTATTCTTTGTATGCAACAATATAACATTTATGTAACTAAAGAAGCACTTATTAGAGTGGAGACTTGTTATGCTCTATGTGAAAACACTCAAAGGATTACTACCTCCAGTGAATAAAAATGTCACCCAGACTCAGCATGAAATGTCCTTTCAAAGCTTTACTTACCTCTAAACTGTACATATTGTTTAAATCAATTGTGTGTATGGATCAAATAAATATATATTTACATAATCCTGGACAGATAAATCAAAAACATTCATTCATAGCTGAGTAAATTGGAATTCATCAAGAGGGTTGTAAAATATGTGAATTTTTTTCCTTCTGGCCCCCACCCTCTTTGAAGGTCTCCAGACACCGTAACAATTTTTTCTAAATTTTTTTAAAAATACTACCCAAAAATATAGACTTCAATCTATGCATTCCTGATGTTTTTTTCTCCTATTCTTAAAAAAAGTTTTTTCACACTTTAATTGGGGCACTCTCTGTTGCTAGTTTACCCAACTCCTTTGCACTTTTATTTAAAACAGAGCTAATTTTCTCAGAAATGTAAAACATTGTTTTTTTAAGCCAGAGTTATTAGAATTCCCATTGTTTACACTATGGGTGAGATGATCATCCAAAATCAGAGTCAAATTTAATGCAGAAGATATATCATCATATGGCCTCGTTAAATCGAACAAAAATCACTTTTATTATGTCCATATATTTCCAGTTGCCCGTGATACTCTATCATGGAGACAAAAACTCACGTACAAGGCTTCGCAAGAAAATTAACCGACGTGTCAAGATTGGCTACGCTGGTCTGGAAACCTGTCCAATTATATTGACATCCTATGAGGTCGCTATGAAAGATCAGAAAAACATTGCACATTTCCCATGGAAATATCTCATCGTAGATGAAGGACACAGGATCAAAAACTTTGAGTGCAAGCTGATACAGTAAGATTGTTTTTTTGCTATTATATTCATTTGAAACAGACATTAAATTATTGTTTAATACAGTACATTCTAAAGCTGTCAAAACTGCTGAATATAACATTATATGAGATATACAATTGGAAAGAGCAACCGCCATCACAACTTTTCTGAATGATAATGAACTTAGCTTTATGTTGGTTACTTGATTAACAATTGATATTTCATATACAATAATTCAGTGAGAATATTCCTTATCCTTATTGTTTTTATTGTTAAGATAACATGTTTTATTGTCTTATTGTAAAGATAACACTCTAATTAAATGTGCATGCTGTTGTTTTTCAGGAATCTCAAGATGTATCGCTCTACCCATAGACTACTGCTGACTGGGACTCCCCTACAGAACAACCTCTCTGAACTATGGTCCCTCCTGAATTTCCTTCTACCAGAGATATTTGATGACCTGGGAAGGTAACCATATTTATATATTTTCTTGTGTTGCTTGGAGTAACGTTGAATTCTCCCTGTAATTTCAGAGAGAATATTTCTGTCATTCCTTGCACTGTAATATTTCTGTCATTCCTTGCACTGTACTCTTATATTGTATGAGTGTGATGAATTTCTGGCATCACCTTTTTATCACAACATTGGTGTGATATAGTCGTCATGATGATGTCCTTTTCGTGATCGTTTTTTTATTATTGAAAAAGAATGGTTTACTTTTATATGTTTATTATGCATTCTAAGATGACACTTTTTTTTACTTATATCTATGAAATCAAAAATTTTTAGAATTGAGGTGATAATAATCAAAACAAAACACTAAATGGAAGGTACCAATTGTTCTAGCTTCCAGGCCTGGTTCTGTGACTTGGAATACCTTCAGAGCTCTGAGGCAGCCAAAGAGATAGTGGAGGAAGAAGAGAGGAAGAATGTTCTAGCTATGATGCACCAGGTAATTCATTCGTTCATCAAATATGGGAACATTGTCATGTATTGTAAACAGCTTATTGGTATGTGTTCATTCCACTTAGGCCCTTATAAATTCAATATATGTTGAGCGGTGCCTATCTCACTTTTCCAAAAACTTGGCTTTTCTTGACTTTTCAGGAATTTTAAGATTTTTAGAGAAAATAGAGAGGAAAAAAGATTAACTGTTCAATTATTCAAAATCTGTTTCATGTATAAATTCTTAAGGCTCTCAGAAAATGACGGCATATTATTATGGTCTCCAACATTTTTGTGTGATTTGGTATTCAGCATTCCTCAGTGGGCGTTTATCATCTGCAACAAATGGTAGGTGGTGACATTTTGCATGTTAATGCCTTGTTTATATTTAACATGAATTCTGAATTTGTTCTGCTATTTTAGATCCTGAAACCATTCATGTTGAGGAGACTTAAGACAGATGTTTGTCTAGCGATTCCTCCCAAGAAGGAAGTGATTGTCTACGCCCCTCTAACAACACTACAGCAACAATTCTACCGCACAACCATCGACAGAACAATCTTAAATGTCATTGAAAATAAAAATGTAAGAAGATTTTTAGTCTTTTTCATGTTTGAATGTGACTTATATTTATGTTCATAACAGTTAAACCTGACATACCTCACCCTTTACCCTTCGTTGACCTGAATACAAAAACTATATTTTTATCTTACTACTTAGAATTTTGACCATATGTATTTTTTCACTTGTTATCATTCATAGGTCCCCAGTTAGCTTATGCTTGGTCATAATAATGATCATTTCAAATTTATCCTACAGAAACCTGAAACCCCTGTTAAAGTGGAGCTGAACTCAAAGGGGCGACCAATGCGTCAGAGTGCAAAGAAAACTGTAGACTATGCTGCCATGATGCTTACTGAGAAGGAAAAGGAAGGAAAGGATGATGATGACATCGAACAGTGGGCTAAGGACATGGCAGAATCTATTTCTAAAGGAATCGAAGAAAACAAGTAAGCCAATGTGAATTGAATTGAAATATTTGCAGGAGTGAAAAAATACATATATTACATTGTTCATAAGTAGAACACACAGTTAAAATATATGATTGTCATACACTGGTTATGACATAATTACTAAGTTTGAATTTTCATGTCACCACGGCATTTTGCATGATAATACCTTATTTGAAATTGAACTCATTAAGAAATCAATTCTACATGAATTAACAAATAGAGCAGATAATGTAAAAATATAATTGTTTCTAGAACATCTATTTATCTATTTCAGAAGTGGAAAAACAAAAAATACAAATGCATTTTTGCGAATTAAGCTACAGAACATTATGATGCAGCTGAGAAAAGTCTGCAACCATCCCTATCTTCTAGAATACCCCATCAACCCAGAGACAAATGACTTTCGCATCGATGAAGACCTCGTGAAAAATTGTGGAAAGACTCTCCTGCTGGATAAAATGCTCCCTGTCTTAAAAAAGAAAGGTCACAAGGTAAGTGATGAGGAGGGGTATCCTAGTTTAGTTGGATCCTGATTTTTTCAGGTAGCTGAGATTTGCCAGATGTGAAAACCAGTTTCTGGTAAAAAGTTACTGAAATGCATGTGACATTAACTTCAGTGACAATCATCCAATATTATATAAAGATACACCATGATGTGTAGTTCCATTAATATACGTGTAGGCCTACATATAAATACAGTGTACATGGAAAATATGTGAAAATAGTTTTGAATCAAAGAATTTTTTGGGGAATTTTCTTAAACAGTACATCTTTATTCCATAATTCATGTAAAAGGGTATAGGGGTGGTGGTCTTGAATTTCATTACGATTTCTTGCTCTGATATCAAAAATTCTTGGCCTTTGAATGGGGTAACAACAAATCAGCAGTAACATAACTCTAAGGAGTATGTATCCATTTCAGGTGTTGATATTCTCCCAAATGACCATGATGCTAGATATTCTTCAAGACTATTGTTGGCTCAGGAAGTACAAGTGTCAGAGACTGGATGGAGCATGCAATTTGGAGAGTAGACAGGAATCTGTAAGTTAAATATATTTAATTTTATTATTGTACTGTAATGTATTTGTGCTGTATGTCATTTGGCACCGGTGGATTTGGGGGGGAGCTGGGGGCAACATGGTTGGGTACAATTGAAATATATTGTCATTGGCTTCATGATGGCATAAAACATAGCACAGAGGGTGTTGATACACTACATTTTATGCTAATATGAAAACATGAAAACACACCACCCAAACTATTTTGTGGACAGTATTCAGCACTCGGAAGTCAGTGTTCAGCATCTGTAACAAATGGGAGGTGGGGACATTTTGCATGTTAATGTTTTGTTTATTTTATGCTAATTTTGGCTCATGTAAAGTTTATGTTCAAAATTGTTGTAGATTGAGGAGTTCAACACAGACAAAGAATCATTTATATTTCTGCTGAGTACAAGGGCAGGGGGTCTAGGGATCAACCTTACAGCTGCTGATACTGTCATTATATATGACAGCGACTGGGTAAGTGCATCTCCCACACCATTAAAAGACAATGTTTTACTCAAGCATATCTTAATATTGTTATTATCGAAAATAAGCATGACTGACAATAACGTTGTTGTGTTGCGACATTGAGCTGTTGAAAAATCATATAAGTGGTTATATGACTTGAAACTAGATATAAGGTATTTTCTTGAGAATGAATTTGAGTATAGCAATGACTTAAAATGAAAATTACATGGACCTTATACTAAGTTCTGAAAGCCTTTCAAATATTGTATTTGTATTTCATTATTATCCGGTAACTTTGTTGTTCAATCCCAGAGATCAAGCAAATGGTATAATTGTGGTATTGTTTGTTAACAGAATCCCCAGTGCGATCTACAGGCTCAGGATAGGTGCCATCGTCTGGGTCAGGAGAAGCCAGTAGTTGTCTACAGAGTGGTGACTGCCAAAACTATAGACCAGCGGATAGTGGAGAGAGCAGCTGCCAAGAGAAAACTAGAGAAAATGGTCATATCTAAAGGTTAGTGGTCTCTTATGAAAGAATACTTGGGATGAATATACTATGGTACGGTAAAGAAATATTTTTAATATATGCAAGTTGATATATAACATAACAATTATGTCCATTCAGTCAACCAAAAAAACATATACTCAACTGTTTTACTGGTTGACCTCTGGAGAGTTTAACAATTGTTTAATGTAATTTTCAAATTTTCAACAGGGTGCACTGTGCACACCCACTGGTGGAAATATCACTTCTATTGTAACCATTTCCATAAACTAGAGAAGTAATGTTAGGATTGATTTGAGAATTTTGGAAAGTTTACCTAAGTTACATGATATTATTTGTTATTTCAGGCAAATTCAGGTCTGGTTTACAAAACTTTGTACCAGAGCTTGACCCCCTGAAGCCAGAGGAGCTTCTGGAGACACTGAGGTCAGCAGACTTTGAGTCATCATTTGCTGGGAGAGAAGGTAACGTGATCAGCAACCGTGACCTTGAAAGGTTATTAGATCGCAGTGACCTATGGGAGCAGTGGCAAGAGAAGTTGAAGGACAAGTTGAAACCTGGTAAGCTGATTGCTCAAGTGGCATTTACATTATTTCAAGTGATAAAACAAAACTCCAGTCCAAATCTTGGAGAGGCATTGGTGAAAAACAGGGTATACCATGATAAATAATATAATTATCCCATCGAACGAAGTTCGGAGGGATATAGGGAACGCCTCCGTACGTCCGTACGTACGTCCGTCTGTCCGTCCGTCCGTCCGGGCAATAACTCAAATACCGTTGGCCCGATTTTGTTCATATTTTGTACACATATACCCAATGGGAGTAGAAGTTCTGCTCGAAAACCGATTTTCAAAATGGCCACTCATTTAAAAATGGCGGCCATTTTAGTGCCGATTTTACAGTAATTTAGGTACTGCATATAAAACTGTAATAGCAATATGTTTTAAATGTAAAAAGTTATATAGGACATTGATTAAGCTAGAAATGTAAATATAGAAGAAATACATGGCAGCCATCTTGAAAAATGGCTGCCTTTGCACGTCATTTTTCGATTTTTGCTGTAACTTGAAAAGTAGTGGAGCGATTTTGTTCATATTTGGTATGTGAATACTTTTAGCATGACACAATGTCTAATGACATTTTTGGTAGTAGGCAGCCATTTTGAAAAATGGCCGCCATTTTTACGTGTGTTATTTAAATTTTTTTACTGTAAGTCAAAAAGGAGTGGAGCAATTTTGTTCTAATGACATTTTGGGTAGTAGGCGGCCATTTTGAAAAATGGCCGCCATTTTTATGTGTGTTGTTTTACATTTTTTACTATAACTCAAAAAGTAGTAGAGCGATTTTGTTCATATTTTATATGTGAATACTATAAGCATGGCACACTGTCTTATGACACTTTGGGTAGTAGGCGGCCATTTTGAAAAATGGCCACCATTTTTACGTTTTTTACTATAACTCGAAAAATATTGGAGCGATTTTGCTCATACAATGTATTTGATATGTGAATATATGCATGGCACATTGTCTAATTAAACTTTGGGGAGTAGTCGGCCATTTTGAAAAATGGCCACCATTTCTATGTGTGTTATTTTACATTTTTATTATAACTCATAAAGTAATAGAGCGATTTTGTTCATATTTGATATGCGAATACTCGTAAGGATTGCATACTGTCTCATGACATTTTGAGTAGTAAGCGGCCATTTTAAAAAATGGCCACCATTGGCAATCTTTTAAGAATTTTATATGTGGCTACTTAAAAGCATATTACTTCTGATGACAACTTGGCTTGGTGATCAACCATTTTGAAAATGGTGGCCTTTCTTATGGGTGTTATTTTATGATATTTGCTATATATTTTGTATGTAAAAATGCCAGCCATTTCTGTTCGATGGGATTCGCTACGCTTTGGCGTTGCCGTTGTTCTGGTTAAAATGAGTGTTGTATCTTTTATTAAGTGATCTAATCATTTTAGAGGTATCTCATTATTCATTCATAAATATATTTATGATTGTTTACATCTCATGCCATGGAAGATTTAAATATTAACAGCACTCCCTATATACTGATTACTGACCCCCATAGAATATAGAAATTAAGCAGGGAGTAGTACAGAATCACAAGTTACTTGTGCTTATACACTTATTATGCCACTATGTACCCTCCTAAAAGGTTGTGTGAAAATATTTGGTTATGGTCCTGAGAAAGTATCTCTTTATAGTCAAATAATTTTCAGTGTCCCAAACAAAAATTCAAAAGAAAATATGATTCTTTCTTCTATTAATTATGTATTTTAATTTTCCATTTCCACTTTATTTCAGGTGAAAAAACAAAACTGCAGACGAAGCCAAAATCTCGGAGAAGCAAATCCAAGCACCAAGATGTGGAGGGTGTATTCAAAACTATAGACACAGATATGGGCCAGTGGTCAGAGACATCTATTATCAAAAGCTCTGATGAAGGCAGTAGCTAGAGCATGACCTTGTTTATTGTAGCTGGAGTCTACAATCCTATGTTATGAACAACAGATTCGGTGTTTTTAAATTGCATTCAAATAAATAGATAATTGGGGACTAAATGTTTGATGCAGAACTAATTAGAAGTGTTTAATGAACATTTTCATCACTATAATACTACATTTGTATAGTTTAATGAGCAGTAGTATAGCCATGACAACTACAGCCAATAGAGACCTTTTAACAAAAATATTGTATTTCACAAATCTTGAAATGGAAATGTCTTTCTTATTGCATAATGAATAGGACAATTTACAATATATTTGGGAAATGGTCCCTGACCTGTTCAACTTTTCCCATCAAGGCCAAAGAAATAGAAGTCAAATAAGACCTTTGATGATTGTTTGATTTAAAATTAGATCTAGTGATAGGGCATCTTTCATAACTTAATAAAGAAATCCTAAGACATAATAATCCAATAAAAGTAAATTTGAAAATATTATATATAATATGCTTATAAGCCTACTTAATTTTACTTTAAATCTCAGGAATATAATTTGCAGATCACTAAGACAGTCCAGACATTGATTGAGCCAAAAGTGTATTATTATATATTTTTTTATATACAGTAGTCAGTAGTTACTTTATTTTTATATTTCTATAGCCTATAGACATGATAGATAGAACTGTATGTATTTGCTTATTTTAAAACAAAATACATTTTTTGGTGAAGAGAAGACCATTTGTACTTGCGTCTCATGGATCTTACTAAAATATTGCAGAATTTTTGTTATTTTGTGACAAAAAGTTCATGATTCATATTTGTTTTAAATTTCAAGATATGAGCACCAAAGATCAAAAGAAATTGAAGATGTTATAATATTGTTGCATTCTGTCAGAGTTTAAAAGTTGTAGCCATACTGAATGTGATATACTGTATCAATTCAAATATAAGACACCTTAGTTGTACCATATTTGTAATCTGTAAGGTTATATATGTTGAACTGATATTCAAAACAGTAGTTTATGAATAAAAAAAATAGTTTGTCATTTTATTATTTTATTTACAGAGAATTAAAGTGGAAAATATAGTGTATCAAAACTCTATCTGTACTTAGAGCTACTCTTGAGTCTTGAAATATGAGGGAGGGGCAATCCTGAACATTTGAACATGTGTCAAGGGTAGAAGGGGGAGGGTTGAAAAATAGTGAAGGTGTAAGAGCGAAAGAAGGGGAGTAGAAAAGGAGTCAAGTATTCGGTATCATAGTAACAGTTTAGCATTCACATCACCATGTTTCGCTTTCATTTCCAAAATTCATCCCAATAGGACAAAAACTTCCCAAAAACAAACGGGGAATCTCTAACCTTTCATATGAGCCTATAAATGAAATTTGCCAAGTTAATGACTTGAGATTGGCATCTAAACCTGTGATCTCTTGAAATATTTAGTCCTAATTGTTGCTGTAATGACCCGAAGGTATTTCTGAGGAAACACAGAGTGCAGTGTGGTAAGCCACATTCAAGGGGTGAAAGAATGCTAAATGCAATGCCCCGTGTGGAAATCAAACCTAGAACTCTTCAATCCAAAGCCTGATCGTCTACCAACTGAGCTATCAAAGCTTTGGCGAAGAAGCTGTGCTGTAGTACCATATCTAGTATCAACTTTCTATCCATGGCATTTACAAGAATAGTTCAGATGTGATGACCAATTAACGTTTTGATTAATCTTGCGAATTGTCAAAACCTTTGCCAGAGCAATCAATAAGATATTTTAAGTTATACATATATGCAAAATACATCCAAATACATGTAGTTCTCAGGGTTTCCCAATAGGCATAACTTCATGTAATTCAGCTATAAACACATGTTGGAAGCTGAAACTTAAGATGTGACCACTGCAGTGATATATTGAAGGCCTACACCAAAATTGGAGTTTGACCTTGGAATGACATACAATTATTCCAGAATTGACCTTCACACACATTGATAATATCTGAGACCATCATAAAATATGAACACCATAATTGTATATTTTACAGGAAGCCATATACATGTTTCTAAGTATTTGTGTTTAAAAGAAAACTGATTGGAATAACTATTTTCCTTTACCTAAACAAATAGTGACCGAAATTACCCGAGTCTCTAGCTTGCATAGAGATAGCTTTGGATCCAAGTCAACCTAAACAGTACGACTTAAACGATTCAACACCCGTGTATTACTACACAAAACGAAATCAATAATAAAGTTTCCCGGGAGTAAGATTTTCTACCTGGAAAAAACATTTTGGTACTATTTCTTTTTGCAATCTAGCAAGTTATACACATTGAATATTAAGAAAAAACAGTATTGAATGAAAAATTTGTACATTTAAAGAATTTTGTTTAGTTTATTGATAATCAAAACCTTCAAATCATGTAAATATTAGGATTCGAAAATGTGGTTCTCGCTGAATTGAAGGTCGACAATCGTAAACAAGAAAGATGGCTGCCAAAATTGATGGAAATCTAAGTCAGGTGAAAATTGGACATTATGTTTTAGGCGATACATTGGGAGTTGGGACGTTTGGAAAAGTCAAAAGTAAGTATGAACTGTTTTGGCATTGAGCTGTTTTCGTAAAATGACCGGTTAAAACGTTAAATCACTTACATTAGGACTTTGAAATGATGCCAAGATTTCAAGATGTTGATGATTTTCACGTTTCTTTACAATCAACATAGAAAATGGGTCAGTTGAGGTCAGTCAAAATGTCGATATCTGTATCAATAACCCAGATGCGAGTAGAAATAATCTTGATTTACGTCATTAAAAATTCAAAATTCAGTCAAACTAATATCATATTTGAAATCTTCATGTAAAATTACATCTAGAAATGTGGTTTTAAAAAGTGTTTATCAACTTTGAAAAATTAATTTTCTTTGAAAATGTGACTTCTAGCTCGGGGAGATTCCCCATAGACCCCATGCTATAAAATCACAAAAAATGAAATATCTTTTATTTTAGTGGACAGATAATATTTTGCTTTACTGGACATATCTTCATTAGTATAAGTATCAGACGCATAAGGGTTATATGAAAATTGAGCCACTTAAATTGATAACATTCAAGTTTAACCCTCTCTTTACGGGACCCCCTATTTTCGTTAAATATTTTACGATGGAAAGACCTCATTTCATGATATTGATTGTCGGGCACAAAAGGGTTAACATCCGTCAACTATTTACAAAACTGAACAAAATATTCAGTTTTTCTTACCTGGACTAAGTTTTCAAGTGTTAATGCATTGGTATCGTGTAAATTTATGTTTTTGTTGGAGAACATTTTCAAACCGTTGAATTTTAAAAATGGCAGTTCTCGCGCGAAATCGCGCGTGATCTCCATACAAGCAGAAATGGCGTCTCAACGACCAGTGAGAGGCTCTGCAATACGGGCTCGTGAGCTCTTCCAGAGAGGGTTTGGGGAAGATGGGGACGATGATGTTATGTCCGAAAATGAGGAGGATGGTATGGATGAAGATATGTTGGAAGATGATGAGTAAGTTGGGTAAAATTCGTGACTGAATAGAGATCGTAATTTTTTTTAGTTTTTGAAAAATTAATTCTACGAATGATTATTTAATTATCGCCACTAAAATTGTTTCTTTTCATTTGAATGAACACCCCAGTAAATCTATGTGGTGTTTTAAATATAAAACATGCATCATGTCTTTCTATAAAGGCGCTTAGACACTAAAACCCATTGTAGTAACATACTTCCGTATTTGCCGAGTGGGCGATAATAGAGTAGTCTAATTCGTAATATTTTCAATCATCATCTTTTTCCAGAAATACGCTGAATAATTGTGATTATTGCATTCTGTTATCGTTTCATATAGCTGGGGAATGAAGTTTCATGTAATGTTAAGTCTAGAATACACCTTCATGTTAATGATAACAGTCAAGAAATAGCTCAGTTTTCACTTTGATTTTCAACAGTGTATGAATACATGTAAGTCATGACCATGCTTATTTAGATCAATTTATTTTTCAATCATGAGATAGAAACAGAATGATAGTGCTCCCTATTAATTTTCAACTCTTTTAGGTCAGATGATGGTGTAGATATTGGAGATCAGCAGCCCCAGCAACGGAGACATCGTGGAAGGAATCCCAATATACAAGTGCCTGTAGAAGTCGGTGCAGGAGATGCTCCAGCCCAGAATGGCCAGGTAATATATGGATATGATAACAATGATATTGAGCCTTTCAGGGTTCGATTCGCTCCAAGAAGACCACCTGGTGTGCAGCTTGGAAGGCTGACAAGAAATGGAATATTACAATATGTTACCCCCCTTGCAATTTTCTCCCTCTTTTTCAACCAGGACATCCTCCAGACCATTGTGGATAATACGAATACCTATGCTAGGCTTAATATTGCTAACCTTCCAACTTATGGCGACCAACAAGGAGAGTGGTTACCTACAACGGTTGATGAAATAAGACAGTTTCTGGCCTGCCTCATATATATGGGCTTTGTAGACGTTGCCACAATTTCACGTTATTGGTCAACCCAAGCCCTGTACAATGGGCTTTGGGCAAGACGCTTCCTCAGTAGAGACAGATTTACATCTATTCTTGCCATGCTGCATATTTCTGATCCATTAAATGAGCCAGCATTAGCTGAGGATAAGCTCAGAAAAGTTCGAAACCTCATATCCCATGTACAGAATGTCTGCGTAGAGCTCTACCAGCCAGGAGAGAACATTTCCATCGACGAACGCATGGTAAAGTCAAAGCACAAGAGTGGGATAAGGCAATTTAACAAGGACAAGCCTTGTCGCTTTGGGTTTAAAGTCTTTGTTCTGGCAGAAAGTGACACAGGATTTACCTGTAGGTTTAAGGTTTATACTGGGAAAGCAAACACACCTATAGGGGACAATGGACTTGCCTATGATGCTGTAGTTAGTCTTATGGATGGACTCCTGAACCAAGGGTATCGAGTGTTTTATGACAACTGGTATTCTAGTATCCCCTTGGCGGATTACCTTGCAGACAATGACACTGTGTGTTGTGGGACCATCCGTGACAATCGCCGTGGTATCCCGGAGGGGCTGAAACAGCAATGGCGAGGTGTCCAGAGAGGTAGCAATGTTGCTGTTCCCCATTCCACTGGTTATTTGTTGACTTTTTGTTTCCAAATTCATATTTTCTGTGTATTTGATGATTGCAATAATTCCTGTCTTCCTAATTTCTGTTACAATTTTTCTTAGCTTTTATTTAAATATAAAAGCAATTGTTCCACTTTGCCTTGAAATGCTGAACAATACAGGGACTTTTTTACATATCATCTTAAAATAGATGCCAGGAATTACAGTAATCATCTGATCATATGTTGTTTCAAATTAATTAATTCATATTTCTATTTAGTTTTCAGATACAACTATGAGACCCTACGACTGACACTAGGTTTCAGATTCATGTTAGCTAATTTTATTAAAATTAAACTAAGTTGTTATCTTATTTACTAAAAAAAATTCTAATTTTATTTATTCTTTTGTAGAAGCTGTTGACACAATTCTCCCTACTACTTAGATCATTAAACATGTTAAATGTAAAAAATACATCACGCATTTCAGTG